ATATCAAAATCCCAACATTATTAATTTATAAAGTTTTTACTGTATATATATATATATATATAAATTTGCCGGATATAATTATCGGGCTTACTTCAATATCTGAGTATTTGACCATAGGAATCTCTTAGAGTCTTAGTCATCGTCGTCGATGCATTCAATTAATGGTTATGTAACTCTTACATATTGTATTTCTTATATATCTTTTTTTTTTCTTATATTTCTTATATATCTATTTCTTCTTCTCGCAGAAAAAAAAAATCTATTTCTTCTCTCTCTCTTTTCTTATTTATTTTTAAATCAAATACATTTCCTACTTCGAAAACCCTAGCTGGAGAAGAAGGGTTTTTATTGGTTTAGGGTGTTTTGGTCTTTTGTATTATTCCTTCTTAATTTAATACTTATCGGTCGTATTAAATTCTAAAATCATTAGGTTTTCATGTTTATCTTGGAATGTCCTTGCCTATATAAAGGACTCAAACCTAGACGACACAGAGAAAAGTATTTTCATTAAAATTCAGAGTTTATCTTTTTCTTTGTGACGTATACATATCTTAGGTTATGGCGTTGACGTTGGAAGTGTTGAAGTTTGCCTATTTGATGATTGGCGTTCCATTGTTCTTTCTCCTCTGCGGGCTATGGTTACTTATAGACGAACGACGCGAGATCCAAACATCATTGGCCTGCATAAACGGCGGCAACCTCTGTCCTGCCTATCATAGGGATCTCAAGAAACTCGAAAAGGCACTTGATATGTCCAAGTGCGACCATATTAGAACCATCTTTACCAGTTTTAAGGACGACCTATAGATGCCTAAATTTATTTCCACAATTTTTTTTAAATTTCTTTTTTTAAATTTCTTTTTTTTTAAGACTTTGTTGATTGCTTTGTCTATTTTTTTTTTTTTTAGAGTTTTTCTTGTCTTTGGTCTTCACTCTTCAGTTTTATTTTTATAAAGAAATTGCTAGTTTCTTTTATTTTAAATTTAGGTAGTATCTATTATTTTTTTAGAAGTTAATAGTATCTTTTATTTTGTATTGTTCGATTAGTCACACTTTTGATTTGTTCTGTGTGAAGAGAAGGATTTAAGAGAGGATCGTCAATTATTGTCTTTGTTTGCTTTAATGGTTCAATCTGGAAGATTTTTATTAAATTGTGCTAAACTGGGTTTGTTGAAAATGGTTAACCACAATCAGATTTACAAAAAAAGAAGAAAACCTTAACCAATTTTTTTTTCAAGAATCTCTACTCAGTTGATCGAAAAAAACAATGAAAATTTTCAAGAATCTCTACTGGGCTTGAAAAAGAGACTGGTATCTGTATATCAGTCTCATCTTGTCTTTTGTCTTAGTGTGTTGTGTTTTATCAGTTTATGTAATCCCTCTGTGTTCCAAACTTGACTCTGTTTTTTCAAATTGGTTTATGTTTTGACTCTGAATCTGTCATTGTTTTGGTTCGTCTTCTATCTCGGTTTCCTGAAACGACGCGTACAATCTAACGAAACTCGTGTTTTTTTTGTGTGTGCGTTCAACATAACCATAACTAGAGACAATTATAAAGTTTATGTTAATATATTTCATGAAACTATAACGGTTGACGCAAGAAAAAAAACTACAAAAAGTCAGCAAAATAAATAAACAATATTCGTATAAAATTATAATCAGTAATCGTTACCTTATATGTCTGATGTAATCAATAAGTATGAGCCTTCTATATAGGCGTTCAGATTTGCACACACGTTTGAGGATTGGAGAAGAAGAGGAAGAAGCATTCATCGAAGCCATTGTCGCTTGCTCTTCCGAGAGATGATGAAATGTTTAATTCGAAGAATTATCTGATGGATCTTTGTTAAATTCTTGGCTCATGATTAGCTGAGAAGCAACAAACTTTTCAAGAGTTTGCCAATCCATCACTTGATCATTATGACCATCATTGAGTAGTAATCCTGTTTGATGGTCTTGATAATCAACACTACTTGTGTTCATCATAATCATATGATCATCTTCATGATTGGTGATAACATGACCATGATGATCTCCCTCATCATCTCGTTTCATTGATGTGGTTGGTGTTGCGTTGATAGTGCTTAGTACGACACCATAAGGGTCATTATCATTGTGATGCAATGATGATAATGAAGATGATGATGATCCTTGAAACATTCTTGGACTCTCTAGATCAGGAAGGTGATAGTAATTACCATTAGCCACATCCATTTGTTGCGCAAACCAATTAGATTCTTGGCCTGACGATGATCCCATCAGTGTTCTGGGATTGTTGCAATTCATCGTTGTTAGTTTCTTCTTGGAAGCTCGACAAAACCACCCATCCTTCCTCATGAGGTGGTCCATTTTCATCGGTCTCAAGACGATATTCATGCATTATCCAATCGGATTTCTGACCATTAGGGGCCCTACCTTTGTAAAACACAAGAGTCTTCCTCATTCCGACGAGCTCTTGCTTCGAGTAAATGGCCTTGTCTCGACCTGTTGCTTTCCAAAATCCCGAGCCGGTTGCTCTATTGGTTCGTGTCCCTGTTGGATAATTCTTGTCCTTGTGGCCAAAGAACTATATATTCAAAATTTCGACTACAAGACATGAATTAATTAATCTAACATATAAGGAACACTTTTTTCTTCTTATAACAATTTTTTTGTTTTGTTTCTTATAGTATAAGATTAGAAGCATCTGAACCTTGACTAGTACTATATATTATGATTTAACAAATTAATGTTGGAATGCATACACACCTTGGATGTCCCATGGCTCCATTTTGTAGATACCAACATCTTTGATAACATCAGCTTGCATTCCCGGGAATGCTACTTAATTTCTTTTTGAGATAATAGTCAACGAAATCCTCATGTTGGACGGAATCGATAACCGGGAGGAATGTTTGAAAGACTTTCCCTTTGATTTTTGTATATATTTTCTGCAATGTGGCATTTGTAACTAGTTTATCATCGGTAAATAGAAAGATATGTATGTAAATAGTTTAACAAAAAAAAAAAAGATATGTATATAAATAATGTGAAATCAAGTATCAAGCAAGTCTACATATATAGAGATGTACCTTTTCCACACACGTAATTATGGTTATTTGGTTAAAGGATATATTTGATCCATTTCATTTTGAACGAAACATACGTTTAAGCACTCGTAATATCTCTAACGAAACCAAATTGCGAAATTACTCACAGTAAAAAAAAAAAAACAATAATCATAATATGCATGGTTTCAATTAAAATAGTAATTAACTTTCCATAATCTGCGTGAATCACCTATACTTCCTATCTTTTTATTTTTTCCCATTTTTGACTATTAATAGATGGAAAATTATGAAAAAGGAGAAAACATATATTGAATAACACTTTTAAAAAAAAATCTTCTTACGTGAAGTAAGTTAACATACTTTCTTTCTTTTTTTTTGGTTTAAATTAACATACTTTCTTTTCTTTTGGTGTAAATAAGTTAACATAATTTCGATCAAAGAAGAAGGAACAACAATGTCGTCGTCTCGTCTTTTACACAAGAAAAAAAAAGAAGAAATAGTTGTACTTGTAACCTAAGATCTCGTGTCCGAATGTGAAACTTTGTGAATCAATTTGAGTGTTTGTAACATCTCGAAAATAATAAATAACATATAATTCTATCTACTAAAATAAACTTTTTTATATATAATGGGCATACTACTGAAATAAACTTAGGTGAATCTTCTTCTTATATATACAACATTCATAATGAACATTCGATTTCTTGTTTTTCTCTTGTTTCCTCGTAGATTTGGAAAAAGAGACAAAAAGCGTTTTGTCTTGTTTATGTCGAGATCATGAAAGACTTCGAGTAAACAGAGACAAAAACTCTAATGATGCAAAAGGAAATGTGTTTTTTATTTGATGTAATTTTTTTTCCATAGTTTACTAACAGAAGATTCTATTTGGATTTTGGGGGTCTTCAATTATACTAAGCTATCGCTGTCTTCCTCTCTCTACTTGAAGTGTTGCATAAGTTTTTACCTTTTTGTGGTTCCGGTGATAGTGAGACATACCGTTCTTTAATAAAACAAAGTGCACACGTTATTTATTATCTCATACGTTATGTTTTAAAAGATCAAAACCAACATATTTATAAATAGACGTAATTTAAACAATTATACAAAAAAATAGTTCAAACATCTTCACAATCTAAAGAATCATTTCAAGAAGAATATAAAGAATCATTTCAAACATCTTCACAATCAAGAATATTACAAAGAATCATATTCTAAAGAAGAATCATTTCAAACATCTTCACAATCAAGAATATTACAAAGAATCATAATCGAAATATCGGTCAAAGCTGTTTGACCGGAAATTGCAGACACAACAGTTAACCATATCACAATTTTGGTGCTTTTACTTGGCCCAGTGCTCAGAATTAGAGCTATCGCAGTAAGTAGACCTGTAAGCAAGATCAAAGAGCAGATTCGAACAAGCTGATGACTGATGAGGCACAAGCAAACCTACAAAAAGCGGTGTTGCACCTCCCATTACGAAATAGATGGCGGAAAGAAGAGACTGAGCGCAACAGTGTCTCCATCTCAAATTCTTTGAGGAGAGGGCGACGAAATTACTCAACATAAATCCATACGTTGCGGCAACAAATAACCAAACAGCTGTCCACGCCGGATTGTTATTCTGTAGTGTTAGCGATGTGGGCACGGCGATTACGCCGGCGATGAAACTCTGGTATATCGGAATGTATGGCCCAGCCTCCGCTCTTTCGGAGTCCGCCATTAATTTGAGTCGCGAAGATGATTCTATTTCTGTTTTGAAGAAACGATTTATAACTAATTAGGTTTAGTCTGTTTTGAAGTAATGGGCTTAGACCATGTTTACTGGATCTTTAGTGGATTTCTATTGAATTAATGGGCTAGCATTAAATCAAAAATGGTTTATTTGAGGAGAAACGATCCGTAATTAAGGACTTAGGATCGTTTCTCATTGGGTACGTGGCACGAATTTGTTGGCTGCGAAATTAATTGGGAGAGAAAAAAATTTTTGTTCGATCAAACTGTCTTTCTTCGTATTCTCCGACTCTCCTCAATCTCTCCGTCGACTTCTTCTTCTCCGATTTTCTGTTCTTCCGATCTTCTTCGACTTCTCCGATATATCTTCTTCTCCATCGCCTTCTCCGTCACCACGAGCACTGTCTGCCAGAGCATTTGCTTCTCCGTCGCCTTCTCTGTCGGTCGCCTTCTCCGTCGGATCGTCCATTGAACAACAGCCTGCTACTCCGGCGGAATTAAGGTGAATACGGAGTATAGAACTTGGGTGATCGCGCATAGTCCGTACAGGTTGGTGCTCTCTTTTTAAGATCGTTTTCCTCAACACTGTTTTGATTTCTCCGGGAATGGTCTTAGCTAATTTCACATGTTGATATCGATTTCTTCTAAGTCTGTTCGATTTCGTTTGCTCAACTGAAATACATTTCGTTTGGTTAGACAAATTAGTGTAGACGATGATTAGAGGATTCTCTTTGAGCATATACAGATTATGTAGCTAATCAGCTTGTTTTTGTTAAGTCTTGGTAATGTGTGATCTTTTTGTATATTGTGAGTTGTGACTAAGGTTTTACACCAATTTGTCTTTTGTTCATCTGCTCTGATGAACTAAACATAAACATCTGTGTAAACGTCTGTTTCATGAGCTGGTTTTCTAGTTTTTGACCGTCTAGGTATGTGTTGATCTGTCTCGTGTTTCAGGTTGAATATGATCCAGGTAAAGAGATATTGTACAGAGCAGTGTAAGTCTTCTTTTTCTCTTTGGCTTAAGCAGCATCTCCAGAATTTGCAGAAAGACCGAGTCTTTACCATTACTTTGGACGATCATTTACTGTTAGCTATGTGTGTTTTAACCAGTGAAATTCTCCAACCAAACTACTGATTTTGGACAAGGTTTAAATGAGTTTTCTTTAACACCTAAGAAAGGTTCTTTCTTACTTACTGGAATCTCTGTTTTACTAAATCCAATACTGAGGTGAAGTTTTATAATTGTGTAGAAAAAGGATTCTCAACAGTAGTCGTAGACATAGAAGCTGAAGTAACGGATGCAGACGACTTCGACCGAGCAAAAGTGATTTTGTAGAGACAACAAACTTGTGCAAAGAGGTCGTTTTGGGATATAGAAGTAATATATAGAAATGCACATCTATATGTATATATATATATATATCACATTTTATCTTTGTTAGGAATGATTGTTTGCTGTTTAAAGTATAGTAGGCTCCCATGTACGCCTGTTTTATTCGTCTTATATAACTTAATTCCCCCCTAAGCTTGAGATAATGTTTTGTACATTCCTCTGTTTTTTACAATTATGTTTTATCATAAATCAATTTTTTTTTAAAGAACCCATATAGATTTCTCCCAATAAACCTAAAAAAAACACAAATGTCTTAGTAAATTTCTTAAATTAAGTTTAATATTTAAATATTCATTAAGAGACATTTATGGGTTTCTCCCAATAAACATGCTCTTAGTAACACTTTTGATTTGTTCTGTGTGAAGAAAAGGGGTTAAGAGAGGATCGTCAATTGTGCTTTGTTTGGTTTAATGGTTCAATCTGGAAGGAGTCTCATCTCTCAAATCTTGAGGTATAAGAGCAGATCACTTTTGCTTTGTTACTGTCCTCTGGACTGTTGAAACTCCATCAACGAACTTTGTCCGGAAAAGAACATTGGCATTGTTGAACATTCCTTCTTTCAGCGAAACCACGATAAACTGTTCAAGATTTGAGTTTCAAAAGCAGAGATGGTTTAGAGACCAAAACTGGAATTTAAGTAAACAACATACAGAGTAAGGAAGGAAGGCTTGAGAGATGGAGATTTTGACCTGAGAGTGAGGGAAATGAGCTTTTATCATCCTTCCTATGTTCTGCGTGTGACTGAGATCAAGAGCTGCATCAACCTGACCAATTCAAAAATCATGAGTTTGTTTCCCTTTTCACGCATTGATTATTATGCGAATCAGTGTCCCACAACAGAAACGTAACCAAAACGCTTTAGATCATCTGAATCTTCTTCCAATCATGGGAATTTAAAATATCAATTGGGAACTGAGAAGTCTGAAATTAAAAAACAGAGATGTACCTCGTCTAATATATATAGAGGAGCCGGTTTGAAGAGAAGCAATGCCAAGATTAGAGATAGGGCAAGAAGAGATCTTTGCCCTCCGCTGAGTTCTGATAAAGACTGCTTCCAAACTTTTCCAAAGGCAACACGCACTTCAAGACCATCAAGGAAGCTACCGCCTTCAGGAGGTTCAAGTTTTGCCATGGTGCCGGGTAGTAGAGTTGAAAAGATTGATCCGAAATCCCTAAACATAGAGATTTAACGTAACTAAATATCAGGAGGGAGATGAAGTAGACAATGAGCCTGATAATAAGCAAAGACAACAGAAAGGGACATAACAGACTCATTGTTGGAGAAAAGAAGGAAACTTACTGGTTAACTTTAACCCATGTGACTTTCAGGGTTTCTTTTTTCTTCTCATCGAGCTCTTCAATCACTTTCGTAATTTTGGATTTGTCATTCTAATGATAAAAATTTCCATTAGCGGTTGCACACCAAGCTATTGAATACATCAGGCCTTAAGCACTCGGTAACTAACCTCGATTGTAATTTTCTTCGATATCAGAGCATTGTATTCATCTTCTGCTTTCTCAAACATAGCCATAACTTTTTTGTTCACTCTTTTTTCCAAACTTCATGAGGGAAATGAATCAGCAGGGAAAAAAGAAGATTGCAAATTACTATTAGTGTTGCACTTCAAGAATGTGAAGATAATATAGGTTGCAAAAAGATAAATGTTAAAACTCGTACACATACCTTGATTGATCTGACTGGAGCTTATCAAGTTTTTCTCTTGCTACATACGGATCGCAAGATTCAAAATCATAATCTGTCCCTCCTTTTCCAAAAAATTGCTTTTCGGATGCTATCCATGTATGCTTCTCAACAAGTTTGTCGACTTTCACTGAGCAATCCTTGTGATCCGTCTCCATTCTTAATACCTATAAATAATTTCGAGAGAGTTCTCATGGAAAGTACATTCCTTGACATAAGACGAAATAGGAAAGATACCTCATTTTCCAGCTTCTTTTTTTCAAGCTTCAGGTCACTAAGCTTCTGCAGAGAATTTTCCTGGTTGGTGACAAAACCACTTATCTGTGTATCGCATTCCTTCATCTTTGCATGTATCAAGTTGAGCTCGGCAAGAGACTCGTCATGAATCTTCTGTAAGACATCAACCTGCAGAGAAATCATATCTTAACATGATATATTTCTTCATTTTCAACAAATCTCACCAAGAGTAGCAAAACTACAGTCACCTTGGCCCGCTGCTCGTCTACTTCCGAATTCAGAGTGGTAATTTGGCTTTTCAACGAAGCTAACTGGCTCTCCAAGGACGATTGTTCCTGAATCATCGCTTCTTCCTCCATCACAAGCTTCTCTTTTTCATTTTCATGACTCTGTCAACATGAAGAACCATAGAGAACGTTACAGAGAAATTTGAAAGGGTAAACGAAGGCGTTTCCATGATAATCTGGATAACCAGGACAAGAAAAGAAAATAGGATTGGAAAAGTTAATGGCGTACAAGTACCCGACTAGAAGATCTAGAATACCTTTAAATCTTTGGAAGCTGCCTGCATCTGAGCTTTGATGGTCTTAATATTTTTCTCCAATTCCTTGAGCCGTCCCTCTCTGCTTTTGTCATGGTCTTTGATGGATTTCTCTAATGTGGAGACAGCATCAACACATTTCTTGTAAGAAAGTTCCTTCTCTTTGATTTGGGATGTCGCTTCTTCAAGCTCTACTTCAAGTTTTTTTACTGCTTCGCCAAGCTATTTTATAAAAGGTAGGCGGGATCGAAAGTGTAAATATGTGCCTCAAGTACCAAGAAAAGGCAATATGAAACTGACAATATAGCTCCAGATATAAATAGAAGATGGAGGTATAAACCTTGTGATGCTCATTCTGTTCAGCCCTATTCAGAAATAAGGACAATTCATACGTTTTTAGCTCCAACTGTGCTTTAACATCTGTGAATTTCTTTTGCAGAGGCTGAAGCTCTTTGATCTGAGATGTCAAGCAAAACAAGCAGATTACGTTTAAAATACTGAAGCACTTTATTACTGTGACACGAGGAGCCTAAAGAAAGCAATCAGAGAGCATTACTAAGCTACTGCCTCATACAGTTTCTTTGTGAATTCGAAATATGCCTAGAACGCCTGTTAAGTTCCAAAGTGTATTTAGTTCTATCGCGGAAGAATAGCATAAGGGATTTACCTGCGCTTCAATGTCAGCCAACCTTTTCTGGTGTCCTTGTAATTCTGATTCGGCCTCTGCCAGGTCATGAAGTTGCCTGAGGAGATCACCTCCACCCCTAAGGAAAAGGAACGAATATGAACAAAGTGCTTTTATCCCTGAGTTTTAGGCATTTCTGAACCACATCCGCAAGAAATCAAGACGTTGACTTTGAGAATAGATCTAAGCGTCCAAGAAAGAAAGACATACTTGCGACTCCCACCAGTGAGAAGACCACTTGGCTGGAAAATATCACCTTCAAGTGTGACACTTGGAGTCCGAATATCACGATTAAAAGCAACCTGCAGAAGAAAATGAGGGGCATGGCAAAGGCTGAACTCTAGCGCAAGTATGAATAAGCAATAAAATAAATCTAAAGAGGGAACTTGGTGTTTGAATTTTTGACATGAATCATGTATTTCATTTTAATGATCAGAGATAGCTATATACCGAAGGCACAGGTGAAAATGCATATAAGATTACTAGAAAAATAGCTTAGACAGTCAAAATACATCTACACACTACATTTTCCACGTAGAATCAAAGTATAAGTTAACATCATCTCACAAGAGAGAAAAGCAGAAGCTTCTGCAACACCACATATAATACTAAATGCTTGGGAGAGACTTACTTCCTTTGCTGCATCAGCAGTTTTGCAAACAAAAGTGGAGCCGAAAACAAACTCCATGGCATTCTGCAAAAGACCATGATTCAAACGAAAATGAACTTGAACTTGAAATACACCACTTAGAGCTCAAGAATGAGATGAAAAATTATCAGCGAATGCATATTATGATGTTCTTGAAAATAACTGGAGGATTATGTATGAGGGTCTTGTTACTATACACAGGCGGATACCTTTAATTCCTCACTATAACCGACTAAAGAAAGAGCCAGTTCTGCATTATCCTTTCCAACCTGAAAATAAATAGAAGATATGCAATGAACAAGAAAACAAAGTTATGAAATTTGAAAATACCAAATAAAAGCTCCACATACCAATCTAGAAGTCGCTTGTTGCACTCTAGGCTGAACAACGTGAGATTGAATTTTGTTCAGCGGTATAATTGTAACTCTTCTCCGAAGAGCACCGTTTTGAAGGAGCTGTTTTCCAGTATCTTCTGAGTCTACAACGACATTATACAATTTCCCACCAGCAGTGACCTAGGAAAAAAAAAAAAGCAAAGTGACTTTAGACAATTAATATTCAACAATGTGTATTGTGTAATGGGAAAGATACGCAGTTTACCTCCAATGCTGTCATTGAGTTCTTATCTTTTACTTTTATTAGTTTCGCGACCACACCTTTCACCTTTGATCGGTCGAAATTTCTCACAGGATCGCGGTATGTAAACTGAACATTTGCTAATTGAGCTGATAAGCCACGCACTTTACCTTCCAGCCTTTGCACAACTTCAAGTTCAGATCCGCGGTCCTAGACGAATATTCCAGTTAGAGATTTATACTATATATATAAAAGTAGATAAAATCAACTAAGGTGACCATACTAACCTTCTCCAAAGCTTCCATTTGACCCTCTTGATAAGGAATAGATTCAAGTGCCTTTTGTACACGTTCCACATCAGTTTTTCTAGAACCAAGTTCATTTTCCACTTCAACGGCTTCATCCTGTTTTGACATTAACTGAGACTTTCTCTCATTTAGCTCCTTCTCGCAGTGTCCTATTTTGGTTTTCAGCTGTTTCAACTCTGTTCCTGCTGTCCCGACAGCAATCTTTGCATCCCGTAGTTGATCTTCTAGACATTTCTCTTCATCTCCGCTACTCTTACCAGCTAGTACACCCTAATTATCAAGGGACATTAATCCAATGAACATAAGACAAATGATTACTATTTGGCAAGAAATAAAGATTTATTTTTTTAGTGGTACTACCTGGTGTTCCTTTTCACAATCTTCCAACGTGTTAGAAAGTTCCTGGACTCTTCGTTTTAGGTCTGCCGCTCCTTCCTCAGACTCCTTCACAGCAGATGCTCTCTCTTTTACGGATTTTTTCAAATCTTCTATATTATGAACCATCTAGCAACACCAAATATAAAGTTGTACATGTCAGAAATAACTAAGAATCGGTAAAAGTTCTGACAATAACAAAAAAAAAAAAAACATTGTAGTCCTCTCTCTAACCTTTTCAGCATTCTCTTTTTCTCCACGAAGGGTGTCCTCCTTATTATTAAGTTTAGATGATTCCCGTGTCATTTCTTGAGACAGGGAATCCACTTTCTCTGACAGACTTTTAACTTCTCCTCCCATGCTGGCTTCCTTTGCCCGAGTCAAAGCTTTTATTTGTTTCTCAATTTCCTGTATTTCTGCCTGTGTCTTTTCTGTTTCCTCGCCAATGTTAGTGAGTTTCGCCTTCATTTCTTCAACCCCATGAACAGCGCTGTCCCTTATTTTCTCTGCTTGAACATATTCAAAGGCAATACAGAACCTCTTTAGTCGATCCAGTTCTGCATTGCCGTTAGCCCACTGCATGTATTGCGCTTTTTCTCTCCTAAGTTTCTCTAAAGCCGGCAATATCTCATGATCTAGAAGCTTGTTTATCTCATCAACCTTGGTTTGCTTTTTTTCAAGCGTTTTCAGTGCAGCCTCTTTCTTGTTTTCATACATTCTTGTTCCAGCAGCTTCCTCAAGCATGGATAGGATCTCGGGAGGTTTCATGTTTAAGACTTTGGTGATTCGCCCTTGCATGATGAGAAAGTGGGGATTGTTGACATTAAGCTGCACCGAGTGGAAAAGATTCTGGACTTGACTTGGCTGTGCAAGCTTCCCATTAATTAAATACTTGTTCCGACCACCAACTACAATCTTCCAAACCAAAAGGATACAACGAAAAAAGTTACAGCGAGCAAATGAAAGAGCCATTTCACAATAGCTTTAGCGTTATAGGTAAAATCCACAAATTTTCCACAAAAATTCAAATTCAAGCAAATTTTTACAAACCCATGTAATTGCAGAGTGTGATAAAACTATCAAATTCAAAGCTATTGGAAGATCAGTGGAGCGAAAGAAGGAACAAGGAACCTTACTTGTCTGGTGACAGTAATCTCGGAATGTTCCTCGTAGCCGAGAGGGCTCCTGTTTCTGTCGGAATTGTCAAAGGTGACAGACACAGTGGCCTTGGTAATCCCAGCTTGGCCTTGCTTGTAAACGAGCTCCTGCAGATTAGCAGCACGAACCTGCTGAAGATTGGTGATACCCAGAACGAAACATATGGAATCGAGGATGTTTGATTTCCCCGATCCATTTAGACCCGTTATCGCGTTGAAATGCGGATCGAAACCAGACACCACCGTCCTTGTTGCGTATGATTTGAAACCCTCCAAACATATCTCTTTTATGTGCATCTTCCTTCTTCTTCCCCAAATTTCCCACTCACAGGAAAAAAGCGATAAAACCCTAGAAAGAAAAAAGCGAGAAGATGAGAACCCAGAAACCGGATGGAATTTAGCAGAGCTTAATTTGGAACCGTTGCAAGAGACGCAGAGAAGAATCTGAATCAATTTCCTTTTCCTCTCTGAAGTCAATTTCCTTACCCTTTTCTTTTTTTTTAATGGAATTTTGAAACGAGTGCATTTGGATTTGTGAGAGCAAAAAGAGCGGGAAACTGAAATTTGGAAGCAATTCGGAAACACTCCAGACCATTCAGAAGGTTATCTTCACTTGAAGTGATACCAGAATCGTATGAAGAAATGTTGTAATTTGGGTCACAGAGTATGACGAGTTGGTCACTACAATGTTCTAATCAAATTTCCAATTAATTCGTTATGGCATGTTAATTATTTCACAAATGTATGCTGAAACCAGAATTATTATGCTAATAGATGTCGTTATAAGTGCTTTGCTTAACAAAGTCTCAAGATAGATCTATTATTTTTTGGCGCCAATATAACATCACGAATCTATGTAATTATGATCTCAATCTTGGTAGATGTAAATGAAAACTCGACCGACAAAATCTCCTCAACTAAGAAAAAACAAGAGCTAAAGTTTCACTACAACAAAAACATTGGTTTCCCAAATCAACTGGAGAGACAGGAGTGTAGGCTCTACCCGAGGAACAAAGAGATTGTTTCTTGCAGAGGTTCCAGAAAAAAAAAAAGAAGAAACAGATATCTAAGAGTCGGCGATGGTGACCTCCACCTCAACACCAGGTTCAATGGTGATGGAAGTGATTTGCTTGACAACATCAGGTGAGCTGAAAAGATCAATCACTCGCTTGTGGACCCTCAGTTCAAATCTGTCCCATGTGTTGGTTCCTGTTACAAAACCATAGAATTTCAGGCATGTCAAGAAACCAAAGAATTGAGCTTAATCACATGTTACAAGGCCTAAATCACTATTCTAATCACACTAACAAAAGATCATAGAAAGTATTTATTGTTTCATAAAATGGAGGAATTAAGGAATGGTTCCCAGGCTCTAAGGCTTTTGTTATATATACCTTCACCACAAGGAGCTTTACGAGTAGTGATCTTAAGAACCTTGGTTGGCATTCTCACTGGTCCCTTGGTTCTGAGTCTTTTGTCTTTGGCTCCACGAACCAAATCACTGCACACTACACAATATTATTTGGACCAATAAGACATCACTGATTCAGTAGTTGACCCAAATCATCAAAAATCTACCTTTTGAATCAAATCGAATAAAGCAACAACCTTTTAGCATTGGTCAAGTTACAATCTCCCACATTTCTTAAAACACTTAAAAGACACTAAGCCCTCGAATTTCTCTATAAATCAAACATACTAAACAAGACGATAGCTGAATTGACACGATTAGAGCATCAAAAATAAAAGGAAAATAACTAAAACCTTTTTCGAGGTTCTTCACATTCTTTGAGGAGAGAGTAATCCTAATCTTATGAATTTGCTCGAGTGGCTCTTCCAAACCAGCCTTCGTGGGCTTCATTGCTGCATAAGCCATATTTTCAACCTCTTTCTTTCTCCTTCTTCTGTAAAATCACAAAAACTACAAATATATCGATCACACGCACACAATTTTCCGACAAATTTCAGGTAAACATAAAAAATCAAAAGTGAAGAAACCTGTAAGACGACGGCGAGGAAGAAACAGCAATAGCTAAGTTTTAACCTTAAATATGAAGACTCTTGAAATGAAAACCCTAAATATATTTGGGTTTGTGAGGCCCAGTCATTCAAAAGTGATTAAAATGGGCCTGAATGAATTAAGTTCTAGTGAGGCAGTTTTTTTTTTTTTTTTTAGGCAGTTTATATAATACTACGTGTATAGCACATGTAATTCTCATAAACCGTCGCCACTCACTACGAGAAGTTATTTGAAATGTTTAAAATCTTTCGAAAATGGGAGGAAGAAAAGGAAAAAAACAAAAAAAAAATGGTTAAGAAGAGGATAAAGAAGGACTCGGGAAGTCATAGAATCTTGGAGAAGAAACTCAAAGAAATTGAGTGTCTACTACAAGAATTATGTTTCGGCGATGGTGATCTTAATCTGTACCGGAAAATCCAACACCGGTTTATTTTCACGAAGACTCTTTTAAGTGCAGAGATATCGTCGGTTAAGGACGATGAAGAGGAAGAGTTGAATCTTGCATGCATGGCTAAGAGGTTAACCGAACTTGAAGACGCTTTTGACAACATTTTAACTGGTCCAACCAACGAGAGTGGTGGTGTTGATCATGTCAGTGTTGATGAGACCGGTTCGGTTTTCTCTTTTGTCGAATCGTTACCGGAAGAATATCAAGATGCGTCATGGGAGAAGACGGTTGAGGAAGCAGTGGCGGGGAGAGAAACCGGTGAGAACAGTAAGAACCGGTTTAGGTGTTTGGTTAGTTTTTGTATTGTTGGTTTTGTTGCTACCATGGTAAGTTATTTTGGTTATTTTTGTGATCAAATGAATTGCGAGGATACTATCTTCCTCACCCCTACTTAATATTTGTAACAAAACTTTGTTGTTCTCATTGAACTAATTGTTATAGTTATGCGAATAGTTAATTATTTACAACGATTATCATGTAGTGGTCAAATACGTTTTGGGTTTTTACATGATTAATGTTTTTAGAGAGTGTTTCGAATTTTTTTGTTCGTACCTTTTGGCATTTGAGAAACTTTTTTTTGGTTGGTGTGGCTCACGTGGGAAGAGATAGGCCCCATGTGCCATCTTTTACTTGGTTTTGTAATCCCACCGAAAGATTCTCATGTCGCCATAATATTATACCCCAATATTTTATACGTTTCAAGGTCGTTTTCCTTTTTTTTTTTCATTACGCGGTAAAATACGCGGTTATCCTCAGTTATTCATATCATAACCATATAACCGGACTGGTTACCTAAACCAATTTAGACGACGAACAAAGAAGGTTTTAAACAAACTTTATTAGTTTACAAAGTAAACTCATGACGAACTTTACTTGTACAGAGTATTTAACTGCTTAATATGATTAGCTTGAAGATTGAAATTTAAAAGGCATGGAAATGGGCGAACCGGAATTGCGCAATTGAAAATGTCAAAGAAACCCATGAGGCCCACTTGTTTTTGACCGTTCTTGCTCTTTTTTCAATCTCAACTTCGTAAAACTCAAGAATTTGTCTTCTTCTTCATCCTTATTCTGATGTCGAATTAATTCGTGAGCCATTATTATCAATCACTACGAATCAAAAGAGCTTTGTTGCTTTCAGTATTATTACTGTGACACTGTCGAAGCTTTCTCTTTCTGCTTTTAACTCGTGACCTGATTCGCTGAGTTCACGAAGCCCGAGTCAAAAACACTTATCAACGATGAGCTGGATTCGTAGAATCGATCTAATCGATCCGTACACTTGTTCACCTATCGTCGTCAGAGAAACCTCCATCATCGAACCTTCAGCATTGTTATTAGGGTTTCCTTCGTTCATCGACGACGAGGTTGAAGATCTCGGTTTCCCTTTCGGGTTTCCATCCCCTTCCCCGATTGATCTATTCGAAAGCGTGACGGATCTGGTCCAGATTGAGAAATCTCCGTCGTCTTGCAAGTACCAGCTGATTCGCCGGAAGGTGGAGCCGGATTATCCTCTCCGGTATCTCTGCGACCGAGTTTCTGATTTGGAAACTAAGTTTGACCGATTGGTCGGCCCAAAGAGCCGTGATTCTGACCGGAAGTACAAATTGACGAAGGAGATCAAAGGGTCTGGAGAACGGAAGTACAGATGGGAGGCGGAGATTCAGGGGACGCCGGGAAGGAAGTACAAGATGGAGGCGGAGATCGAAGGTTCGGGGGAGAGGAAGTACACGTGGACGACGGAGATCAAAGGCGGGAAGAAGGATGAGGAACGCCGCCTAGTTGCTCTGAAGAAGGCAAAGGCGAAAGCTGATGCTGAGGCTGCTGAAGCGGAGGAGGAGAAGAAGACGAAGAAGAAGAAGAAGAAGAAGAGCTACAATTGGACGACGGAGTTGAAGTCGGAGAGGGAGAACGGAGAGATGTCTCACACTTACACGATCAAGGCTTCCACTGGAGTCGAGAAGGGGAAACACGAGGAGAAGGAGAAGAAGGAGAAAAAGGACAAGAAGAGCAAGAAGAAGGAGAAACCTCGTGTTGTAGTGATAGAGGAGGATGAAGAAGAAGAAGATGAGTCGGAAGAACATCGAGCCATCATTCTCAAGAAGGTATCATCTATTAAAATTTGACTCTTGGGTTTACTCTGCTTATGCATAATGAAATGTGAGGTTAATTAAGAGGTTTGTGAGAACAGTAGCTTAATTTTGGTTGGCTTGATCGAGATTGGTGTGTACAAAAGTTGAACCTTTACGTGCGTGTGTAGTTTTACTAAGCTTATTCAAACCCACAGTTTAGCAATGCATTTACTCTGTTGATCAATTGAAGAATCATTTACAAAATTAGGTCTTTTATTTCTAAAAATGCCATCTTTATAACAAAAAAACTTGATGTACTTACTATGTGTTTCTCTTAATGGTTGTGGATATAAAGGCGTTTTCCAGAAGAAATGGAGCAGTTAGGACCAAGAAGGGGAAGAACAAGGAAATGTCGCCTGAAGATGCGTCTGTGATGATCCAGAGGGCTTTCAGAGCTTATTTGATTCGCCGGTCAAAAGCATTGCGTGCTCTTCGTGATCTAGCTATTGCAAAGACTAAACTGAAGGAGCTGAGAGCTTCATTCCATAACTTCAGCTACCGTCGTCTGATTTCTCGTGATGCCGAGGAGCGTCAGAAATTCTCTGAAAAGATCATTGTACTCCTCCTCACAGTTGATGCCATAGAGGTAATTTCTTGGTGTTGTAAATTCAGAAGAATTTATGGTTGTTTAGTCGCAATTCGGTTATGAAACTCTTAATCTTCCAGTCTTGCTCTTCAATGGGACCAGTTTTGAGCCCTTATCCTAGAGGGAATGCATTTGCTTCTCCAATGCATTGTAGCACAGTTAGAATGATTTTTAAGCTAAAACAGGGTTAAATTATTGAGTGTTAAGAACCATAAGACTTGTGTTTTGGTATCAGGGAGTTGATGTAATGGTCCGAGGAGCAAAGAGATCAATGGTGGATGAGCTGGAAGCAATGTTGGATGTTGTAGACCCGCAACCGCAGGGGAAATCATTGTCGATGAGGAGAAGAACTTTCGATATGCCAGACAGTATGATCCGCAATGAAATTGCTGATGGAGTGACTCAGATTGTGCAGATGCTTGAAACAGAGGAAGAATGATGGAACTATCTGTGCGTGATTCAGAGGCTGTTTTGTTGTGTTTGTGTCTGGGTATAATTCCCTCTTTAGTTGGCTTAGTGTTTTTTGAATGTTTCTAATTATGGAGAAAAAAAATAATGGGGGTGGCTTGAAAAACAGAGTAGTGTCTGTTTATTAGTCTCATCTCTCAAAATGTTGTCTTTTGTCTTCGTGTGTTGTGTTTTATCAGTTTATGTAATCCCTTTGTGTTCCAAACTTGTAGACTCTGTGTTTTCAAATAGTTTATGTTTTGACTCTGCTTGTGACATTGTTTTGATTCTTCTACTGTCTATTCTTGGTTTCTTGAAAAATGAGTACAGTCTTATGAAACTTTGTATGTTCAATAAAACCATAATTTAATATATTTTCATAAAGGGTTTGTTGGGTATATAATAGATATATCCAGTTGAGCAGATAATTACTCAAGTTGACACAGGAAAAAAACTATAAGAGTTACACCATAATAAATAAACAATATTTGTATAAAATTATAATTAGTAATTCGTTAAGATATATGTATGATGTGATCAATAAGCATGAGCCTCATATATAGGCGTTCGGATTTGCACACACGTTTAAGGATTGATCTTACGTGTGTGTATTTTGTGCCCAAGAGTAGAAAGAACATGGAGAAGAAGAGGAAGAAGCATTCATCGAAGCCATTGTCGCTTGTTCTTCCGAGAGATGATGAAATGTTTCATTCGAAGAATTATCTGATGGATCTTTGTTAACTTCTTCCTCTTCTTGGCTCATGATTAGCTGAGAAGCAACAAACTTGTCAAGAGTTTGCCAATCCATCACTTGATCATTATGATCATCATTGAGTAGTAACCCTGATTGATGATCTTGATAATCAACATTAGTTGTGTTCATCATAATCATATGATCATCTTCATCATTGGTAATAACACGACCATGATGATCTCCTTCATGATCTCGTTTCATTAATGTGGTTGGTGTTGCGTTGATAGTGCTTAGTACAACACCATAAGGGTCATTATCATTATGATGTAATGATGATAATGAAGATGATGATGATCCTTGAAACATACTTGGACTCTCTAGATCAGGAAGGTGATAGTAATTACCATTAGCCACATCCATTTGCTGCGCAAACCAATTAGATTCTTGGCCTGACGATGATCCCATCATTGTTCTTGGATTGTTGTAATTCATCGTTGTTAGTTTCTTCTTGAAAGCTCGACAAACCACCCATCCTTCCTCATGAGGTGGTCCATTTTCATCGGTCTCAAGACGATATTCATGCATTATCCAATCGGATTTCTGACCATTAGGGGCCCTACCTTTGTAAAACACAAGAGTCTTCCTCATTCCGACAAGCTCTTGCTTCGAGTAAATGGCCTTGTCTCGACCTGTTGCTTTCCAAAATCCCGAGCCGGTTGCTCTATTGGTTCGTGTCCCTGTTGGATACTTCTTGTCCTTGTGGCTAAAGAAATACCATTCTCTCTCTTCTCCCGTGCCTCTTCCACATAACTCTATATATTCAAAATATCGACTATAAGATGTTAATTAATTAATCTAACATATAAGGAACACTTTTTTCTTTCTTATACACTTATTGCCAGTGAATTTTGAATTAGAAGCATATGAACCTTAACAACTACTATATCTTGTATATAATTTAACTACTGTAATCTAAATTAAATATTGGAATGCATACAGACCTTGGATGTCCCATGGCTCGATTTTGTAGAGATCAACATCTTTGATAACATCAACTTGCATTCCCGGGAATGCTACTTTCTTTTTAAGATAATAGTCAACGAGTTCCTCATCGGTTGGATGGAATCGATAACCGGGAGGAATGTGTGAGAGACTTTCCATTTAGTCTTTTAATATATGTTCTGCAATATGGCAATTTGTAACTCATTTATCATCGGTAAATAAAAAGATATGTATGTAAATAATGTGAAATCAAGTATAAGTAAGTCTAAATAGAGATGTATCTTTGCCACACAAGTAATTATGGTTATTTGGTTAAAGTAATATATTTGATCCATTTCATTTGAACAAAACATACGTTTACGCACTCAAAATATCTGGAACGAAACTTACAAATTATGAAATTACACACAGAAAATGTTTCAACAAAAAAAAAACAATAATCATAATATGCATGGTTTCAAAGTAGTAGTTAACTTTCCATAATCTGCGTGAATGAACCCATTATTACTTCACATCTTTTATTTTTTCCCATTTATGCACTATTTGATGGAAAGTTATTAAAAAGGAGAAAAAAATAATGAACAACATTGTTTAAAAAATCTCCATACGTGAAATAAGTTAACTTACTTTCGGACAAAGAAGGATGAGAAAAAAATGTAGTTTTCTCGTCTTTTACATAAGAAAAAAAGAAGAAATAGTTGCACATATAATCTAAGATCTCGTGTCCGAATGTGAAATATTTGTGAATCAATTTAATTGTTTGTAACATCTCGAAAATTATAAATAAGCACATGGTTCTATTTACTGAAATAAATCTTTTTTACAATGGGCATACTACTGAAATAAACTTACTTGAATCTTCTTCTTATATATGCAAGATTTACAAGAACATTCGGTTTCTTGTTTTTCTCTTGGTTCCTCGTAGATTTGGACAAAGAGACAAAATGAGTTTTGTCTTGTTTATGTTGAGATCATGAAAGACTTCGAGTGTTCCGATATTGGCGGATTCTCTAGGCTTATATTTACACATATATATAGGCATATAAATGTAAACAGAGACAAAAAATCTCATGATGCAAAAGGAAATGTGCTTTTTTTATTTTATGTAAATTTTTCCATAGTTTACAAACAGAAGATTCTATTTGGATTTTGGGGGTCTTCAATTATAACTAAGCTATCACTGTCTTCCTCTCTCTACCTGAAGTGTTGCATAAGTTTTCACTTTAGATGTGTGTGTGTGATAGAGAAGTAATGTGATCTTTTAGAACTATCTCTACCAACTATGGATTGCGACATTTTTTATGTAAACTAATTCCATTTAATTATTTGAACAAATTACTTTTTCTTAACCTTCTCTTGGAACAAATTACTTAGTTATGGCTCTGTGGTGGTACGGTCACCGTGGTCGCAATTTTCACAATCTTTTAGTATCCAATTAATGATTCTAAATTATTCTTCAAAAAATCTGGTGTTATTTGAAATAAATTCAATAATTTTTACAGAGTAAAATAGAAAAAACAAATTCCACTTTATATTATAGAGATTTTAGAATATACATACATATATTTTTTTGAATGTCTTTTTGACTTCATCCGGGTCCTCTCCCGTGTTGATGTTACTCAAATATCACTACACTCTTGATAAACTAAATAGCCCCAACTTTTTTTTGTTGACCGTTATATATAAATCGACGCATATATAACACAATATAATATTTGTTGCTCATGTAGGTTGTTCGTTTGGTGAGATTGATACGGATGATCTTTTGAAACCTTTAAGAAAACAACTATATACTTTTTATAGTATAATGTCTTAGTTAGTCTTGATTAATATGAATATAAATGTTTATATGAACATACCTCGATAAGCTTGTAAGACTTTACTAGTTGATTTAGAATTAATGAAAGAAGTTCGAAAATTCTTTTTTTTTTTAAAACAAGCAATCATCTTTTACTAGTTAGTAAGAATTGTTTCTTTGAGAGACTGTACATTTTTGGTGAGATTGAACTTTAATTATATGATATTTGTACAACATGTGAAGTGTTTTTTTTCTGGTCGTCGTGAAGTGTTTTACTTTCATTTCTTAAAGAGTGAATGAGAAATAGACGATTTTGTTTTCTTTAAAATATGTGATATCGTTTTTTGGTCATTAATAGTTGATATTGTAGGGGAGAAAACAAAAACCAGTGAACAAAAGAGAAAACAAAAAAAAAAAATTGTCGACCCAACAAAATCAGTAATAAAATAACGTGGCGTGACATGAGTGGTTACGTAACAACCCAGGGAACATCATCGCGGCGAAAAAGCTCCTTATCGCCTTCGGTGCTGGCCCCCACTTTACTCTCTTTGGCCCCCACCAAAGTTCTCGTTTTTCTCGGTCTACCCCTTTAACTTGCATCCAAATTCCCGATTTGCTTTATAGTTATAAATTGTTCATTCACGTTCAATTACATACAACATTCCATATAACAATTCCTCAAATTTCAAGACAACACTTTCATATTTTCCACTATTATTTTTGGCATACGGTTATAATTAAGGTTTTGAAACTACAACTAATCACGAGAGAAACAACACCAATTCCACAAGGGAAACGGTAATAGAAGAAAAACGAGAGAGACAAAGAAAAAGAAAAAAAGATGAAGATGGTTGTCTCATGGAAAAGACCTTTAAGCTCATTTTTATTGGAGAATTCAAGATTTGCTTAGAGTTTGGAATATGTACTTTTACAATTTAGATATATTCATAGACAATAAGGGTATAAGATCAAACGTATGTAAAGTTAAGTACAGCTACTTTGGAAATTTGATTGGTTGATTTTGGCCAAATATAAGTGATACCAGGTTAATCACTTAGACAAATTTAGTATGTAGTTGTTTATATAATCGGATATTTTAGTTCTAATTCTAAGCAATCATGTATAGTACTATATTTGGCCGATTGAAATTTTATAATACTTAAACCTCCCGGTCCACATTCACCAATTAATCTGTGATTTGAATCACCATATATAACATAATTTATTTTGTTTTCATACATCGAATTCAGATGAACCTATAGCTCAGTAATTGGTCATTCTTGATGAGGACAGATTCTTAGTTTGTATGCTTCACAAAACTCAACCCAGTTAAAAAAGGTTATATCTTCAAAGGTTGATAGATTTACTCACAAATAAAACAAGGATCAGAGAAAACAGATAAATCATATGAATCATTAGATTCTATAGTGAAATATAATGACCTAATGCTAGACCTTATATTCTCTTATGTCTTTTTTCTCGTAAATTTTGTTTTGACGGTCTTTTTCGTTTCTCTTTATACCTGCGATACTGCTATTTATATAAAAACAAAAATAAAAAGGTAGTTCTTAAGCAGTACGCTTCTATCTCCAGTTCTCCACTTGCAAACACTATGATTATTCCTGCAATTTATATATCATTTTAAGATGGTCTATTCTATATATCACTTTATTTTCGTGAGTAATATGTACGTACTATCGATGGATATTTCATTTACTGTGGTATTTTCATATTGTACAGCATATATACATACACATGTAATATTAAACGAAAGTAGTTAATTATGTAACGGCAAACAAAATTAAAACAATACTTTTCATATTGTACATGACAATGTTTTGATCGAGGGTCCTTGTCTAGGGCGAATCATGAGCAAAACTGTAATGTTGAACGTTCGGCCCTATATGAAACATAACTCTCATTGTAATAAAAAAAAATCTCAAACGTTCACTCTTTAGTAAATTATTACGAGCAAACCTATTAACTCTAGACAAAGAAACCATTCCACATATATCTCACTGGAGGATCGGACCCACAAACCGACTGTACTGAGTACATTGATATGTTTTACATTCAGGAAACTGAGAAAGTGACAGTTATACTAACCAAACTATCATATCACACGTTTTCTATGTCAAACCGAGCTTGAATAGCAGTCGGTTAAGCTGGTTCCTTCCTAACCGGTAAAGTTACACCAATTTAACTTGTGGTTGAAGCCGCTGGGCTGGACCCACTTGCAAGTTTATGATTGGGCTCGTGAGTCCGGCGTGGTCCTAGCCACTGTCAAGTCAGCCATTGCCAACGAACCACCGTTCTTTCCGGTCTAATGAGTACGTGGACCCGTTATCATTTGTGGAGTCCAAAGTAATGGGCTACACGTGAAGCTTGTGCAAGAGAGTGTGTATACTAATTTATCTCTATATACAGTTATACACCAGTCTGCTGTCCGAAATATATAATATATATATACACCACACCATATCTCATTGGGCTAAACCTCACACATGACACATGTATATGATAAAAGATGATTAAGATAATATAATGCAACCATCTGTTCATCATGTGTTTCTGAAGTGGTAATTAAACTGCAAAAAAAAAAAAACAGAAAATAAAGTATGTTTGGATAAAGATATATTTTTTAATCGAATTTTGGATAAAGATCCATATATTTATATGTATGGTTATGATTTTGCACAAGGAATATTTAGTATATTGTTTGATGAATTCGTATTAACCTTGAACAATTGATTTTATTTTTAGCAAAAACTCATTGAACGATTAAACGAGCTAGTGTAACAAGACCAGGACAGTGGAATGTACGTTGATTTCACTTGGTTTGGACTTTGGAGTAAACTCGTTGAATTTACGTCGAAACTGCTTGGAAGTTTAATTAATTTGTGGCAAACAATTATCATTACATATTCGAAAGAAAATTAAAAGAAGAAGAGAAAATATGATGAGGTGTAAATTTGTATAATTTCTTGAAAAATGATTGGGTGATTGTGGAGTCGCAGAGATCATTCCTCCACCAAAACGTATTCATGGTCATATAAGCCTATAAGGGTATGACGACAAAAAATACAAATCATAGCTAGCACATTAGGGTTTAATTTTGTCTTACTAAACCATTCAAAAGAATTATATAATAGAAAAATTAGATCTTCGAGAGTGTGTTAGAGTAGGCATGATTGACCCTTTATTCTAGTGTATTGATTTACCCTTTTTTGCAATGCAATGTTGGCATGATATTACTTTTTTTCTTTTCAATAATCATATAATTGACATGCATGAAATAGCATAAATAAAGAAAATTATTGCAGCATTTTTGCAACGGTGATATGTTCTTCTTTTATTTGTAATCTTCAAACAAATCAAAATTTCTGTCTTTAAGTACAAGAGAGTAGACGGTAGATCAAAGTATAAAAGAATCACCCGTGCACAAGAGTCGTAAATAATATAATTGTATCCCTTAAAAACAAGCTCAAGTGTGAATAATTACAAAAAAATAATCATACCTTCGTTGGTGCTAAATATATTTGCACTTTGTGAATACGTTTCCTCCACAACTTGTCAACGTTTCCACCTAATGCTAAATTATTAGGAAGAAATCCTTCATTTTCTCCTAATTTTACTATCATAGAGTCACCTCATATGGTTAATAATAATGAGAATTATAGCTACTAATCATATGACTAAGAAATTAGAACAAATAAAGGATCCGAATGATGGTACTTCATTTGACATGGAATAGATTATTGTAGAGTAATTGCAGTAAATGACTATATATTTTTTGATCATTTATCTTCAAAGTATTAAATCTGTCAATTTATTTAATACACATGGATTTTTTAAAAATATCATCTTATTTCATCCGATAACACATTATTTTATATGATCTGGTCCTTTTGTTTCTTTCAAATCACTCGCAAGATCATGTATTTCGTATTTTCCATGCTGTATTTTTGTTGTTGTCAATATGGTCTTCTACCAAAGTCTAGTTCTCATTTTTTATAGAAATATATATTTTTAAAAATTTTCATTTTTTCTTCTACCAAATCTTATATTAGTCCTCGTTTCTGTTTTTTTTTTTTTTTAAATCAATCTTTACAAATCATCAACTAGGTGATTACAATGTAAATCCTCAAATTAAACAAATGATAGGCACCTCTTGACCAAAAATTAAATGATATGCACCTATACAAAATAACTAAATTGTAGTTGGGCCTATACAAATATATCATGGCTGGGCTCATGTTAAATTATCAACAGATTAATCGCCGGTTCTGTTCGATTAGCGACATCAAAATCCGGTTTAGATCAAATTGATTCGACCAATTTACCGGTTTCACACCCTGAGAAGACCCGAATTGACGACAGTGACGACGGCGAGGGTTTTAGCCTTTTAAGCCTCTGAGGATTTTGTTTCAAAACCCGCGCTTTGCCACTCGTCGTTCTACTTCAATCAACCCTTTTATTCGTATTCGTCAATTCTCGCCTATCCTCTTCAAAATATTTTCTCTCCTTTAGTTATTGATGTCAAAGTACGATGCTTTGTTTCGATTCTGCAACTGGGGAGTCAGTGAAATCGAAAAACCTGGAGAGGCTTTCAATTGGGAAACCTGAGATTTGGGGTCCTTTTTGACGATGTTAAAGGCTAAAGCTTTATGGTATCGCTTAGTGAAATACAGAAAAGCTACCACTTGTGCTCTTCCGTCGGAACCGTCACTCCCCACTTCCGCCGCCGTCTCCGCCGCTTGGAGTGATCACCAGTCCCGATGTTTGTCTTTAATAGTTAAGCTTGGCCAACGAGGGCTTACAGACTCTGCTCGGGAAGTTATTCGCCGTGTTATTGATGGCTGTTCTTCGATTTCAGAGGCAGCTTTAGTCGCCGATTTTGCAGTCAACAATGGAATAGATCTCGACTCGTGTTGCTACGGCGCTTTGATTAGGAAGCTTACGGAGATGGGTCAGCCTGGACTTGCTGAAACTTTGTACAATCAAAGTGTAATCGGAAATGGTATTGTTCCCGATTCGTGGGTTTTAAATTCAATGGTTCTTTGTTTGGTAAAGTTAAGGAGATTTGATGAAGCTAAAGCACATTTAGATAGAATCCTAGCTTCTGGTTATGTTCCTAGTAAAAACGCCTCTAGCTTAGTAGTTGATGAGCTTTGTAATCAAGATCAGTTTCTCGAGGCGTATCTATACTTTGAACAAGTCAAAGCGAGAGGCAGTGGTTTATGGCTTTGGTGTTGTAAGAGATTGTTTAAGGGATTGTGCGGTCACGGTCACTTGGATGAAGCAATTGGGATGTTAGATACTCTGTGTGAGATGACGCGAATGCCTCTGCCAATTAATCTGTACAAGTCTCTGTTTTACGGTTTTTGTAGAAGAGGATGTGCTGCTGAAGCAGAGGCTCTGTTTGATCATATGGAAGCTGACGGTTACTTTGTGGATAAGGTCATGTACACTTGTTTGATGAAAGAATATTGCAAGGACAACAATATGACAATGGCGATGCGGCTCTACTTGCGGATGGCCGAGAAATGCTGTGAGCTTGACACTTACATTTTCAACACTTTGATTCATGGGTTCATGAAGTTGGGTATTCTCGATAAAGCGCGGGTAATGTTTAGTCAAATGATAAAAAAAGGTGTGCCCTTGAATGTTTTCACATACCATATAATGATCGGTAGCTATTGCAAGGAAGGGAATGTTGATTATGCTTTGAGGCTTTTTGAGAATAGCACTGGGGTCGAAGATATATCACACAACGTTCATTGCTATACAAATCTTATATCCGCGTTTTACAAGAAAGGCGGATTGGATAAAGCTGTTGACTTGTTGATGAGGATGTTAGACAAAGGGGTTGTCCCTGACCATATAACTTACTTTGTACTCTTGAAGATGCTCCCGAAATGCCACGAGCTTAAGTACGCTTTGGTCATCTTACAAGCACTTGTCGATAATGGATGTGGGATTGATCCATCGGTTATTGATGACCTTGGAAATATTGAGGTAAAGGTTGAGTCTTTGCTTGAGGAGATTGCTAGGAAAGATGCGAAGCTAGCTGCTAAGGGACTTGCGGTTGTCACCACTGCTCTGTGTTCTCAAAGAAATTTCACTGCTGCTTTATCTCGTATGGAAAAAATGGTCAATCTAGGATGCACACCATTACCTTTTTCATACAACTCAGTGATCAAATGTCTGTTTCAGGAAGGTGTTATCGAAGATTTGGGGTCTTTAGTCAATCTCTTTCAAGAATGGGGATTTGTTCCGGATCCCGATACGTATTTGATAATGGTGAATGAGTTATGCAAGAATAATGACAGTGACGCTGCACTTGCTGTTATAGATGTAATGGAAGAGCTTGGTTTGAGACCTAGAGTCGCTATCTACAGCTCGATCATCAGTTCTCTTGGCAAACAGAAGAGAGTTGTGGAGGCGGAAGAGACGTTTGCAAAGATGCTTGACTCTGGGATTCACCCCGATGAGATTGCTTACATGGTTATGATCAATGCTTATGCAAGAAACGCAAGAATCCATGAAGCAAACGAGTTAGTTGAAGAAGTCGTCAAACATTTCGTTAGACCTAGCTCTTTCACTTACACGGTGTTGATCAGCGGGTTTGTGAAGAAGGGTATGATCGAGAAAGGATGTCAGTATCTCGATAAGATGCTTGAAGACGGGTTATCTCCAAACGTTGTGCTGTATACTTCGCTCATCGGACATTTCTTGAAGAAGGGAGATTTTAAGTTTTCTTTCACATTGTTCGGTTTGATCGGCGAAAACGAGATCAAACATGATCACATCGCGTACATCACATTGCTTAGCGGTTTATGGAGAGCTATGGCTCGAAAGAAGAAGAGACAGGTGGTTTTTGTTGAGCCGGGGAAAGAAAAGCTTCTTCGACGTCTTCTTCATGCGAATCCTTTAGTATCAGTCTCTTCTTCTATGTGCAACTACGGATCAAAAAGCTTTGCAATGGAAGTGATTAGGAAAGTGAAAAAGCATATAATCCCCAATTTATACCTCCACAACGCAATTATAGCTGGATATTGCGCTGCAGGAAGGCTAGACGAAGCTTATAACCATCTCGAATCAATGCAAAAGAAAGGAATTGTTCCAAATCAGGTAACTTCCACTATTCTAATGAAATCTCATATAGAAGCAGGGGAGATCGAGTCTGCTATAGATTTGTTCGAGGAATCGAATTGTGAGCCAGATCAGGTTATGTACAGTACTCTGCTTAAGGGTCTCTGTGAAAGTGAAAGACCTGTTGATGCTTTTGCTTTGGTGTTAGAAATGCAGAAGAATGAGTTTCATCCGAATAAATACTGTTATGAAAAGCTGCTTCGATGTCTCTGTTACTCTAGATTGACCATGGAAGCGGTTAAAGTGGTTAAAGATATGGCTGCTCTTGGTTTTTGGCCTCGTTCGGTTAGTCACACTTGGTTGATTTATATTCTGTGTGAAGAGAAGAGGTTAAGAGAGGCTCGTGCTTTGTTTGCTATTATGGTTCAATCTGGAAGATCTTTATTTAATTGTACTAACCCGGGTTTGTTCAAAATGCTTTACCAGAATCAGCAACTTTAGTTTTTTTGCTCTTTTTACAGTATATTGTAAATTTGCTTGTAAATGAGAATAGTGAATTACATTTATCCTTTTTTAAAAAAAAATGTAACCTTAAAATGAAAGACAGTTTTCAGTGTGAAATGTGTAAGATAGATTCCATGTGACTAAAAATCTAACAACGGTAAGCAAAGTTGTCGTTCAACAAAAGTGGGAGAAAAAGACAGCTTTTCTTTCACGTGAGTATCCATACTTATATCAATAGAAATTTAATAAATAGACGTTTCTGTTTTATACAATGTGCCTTTTCATAATTAAAACTAAAACTGATTTTTCTAATATTAATTAAGATCAATAAAATAAAATGTAAACTATCAGTGGAAGATATTTTAATAAATTGAATTAGAATTGATTCATTATCACTGGAAAGTGTGTTTCATTTCTCTACAATTATTAAGTTTTTATAATTAATATGCAAATGATCCATGGATTAATGGATAATCATTAGGTAGGGAAAAGAAAAACTAGTATTAAATGTTTTGTTGGATGATCCTTTCTAAAATAATGAATTTATATGATACACTTAATTTGGTACATATTGATTCTGGAATCTTAAAGACGAAAACACATACAAATCAACATAAAACTTCGATAAAATATAAACAAAGAACATATCTCAATCTCTTTTAGCCATGAATAGAAGCAAAGTGATTAATCAGAGCCAAAGCATTACTCGTTAATTGAGTAATAACCAAAATTCTCCGTCTAACCAAAACCTTAACTTTCCCGTTCATGTCGTCTCCTTCGAAACCGTCCGTACACGTAGTCACATCGGTCAAAGCCGCACTGACCCAAGTCTGTACATCGCTCATGTAGAGCTCATAGTTCGAGCCACTTAGCTGACCCATCTCACCAATGGATTTCCTAAGCTCCTCCAACGTGTCACCTAACTCCTCGACGCAGTCTCTCATGGCCGAGGCTTCTCTCGGCTTGAGCGGACTAGTTCTCGAGAGACGCACCATCATTACTGAAGTGGCTTTAGCCGAGGCTAATGTGATGTTGAGAGCCGCGTGAGCCATTAGCTTGGGGCTTGTTTGGATGAGACTGGCTTGAGTAGAGAGTGAAGCGACGCATAGTCTTTGATATTGTGTGAAATTGCATGACGATTTTACAAACTCTGTGTTTGTTGTTGTTGTATGGACCGACTTGACCAGCGTGGTTATGGCTATGGTTATGAGAAGAGATGTGAGGAAGTGATGATTAAATCTACAAGATCCAGCCATTTTTTTCTATTATGGGCTTTATGGGATTGTGATGATGATGATATGCTTTATGGTAATGCTATGTAATTGAGGTTATATAGCGAGAATTATGATGATTTTTATTTCAAGAACATAAAGATAAATATGCAAGTGGGCATGGGGTTGCATGAATGAAGATATTAAAAAAGAGCGGAAAAGGAACCAACAAAAAAAAAAAAAGAGAAATATCTAACATGTGCCAGTAAGACGGATAAGATGCTGGTTAGTGGGGTACGGAATTTGTAGTTTTGAGCTAAACATAATCATTTGTTTAATTAAGCATTAATAACATTTGGAATTATCTACTTGATTGGTTGATAGATCATTCCCATAGGCAACTTGTTGTCTCTTTCAGATGCAAATGGAGTCGGCTGGTTGATAATATCCAATCTTCTCCCTTTGAATGATACTCTGGATATACCTATGGATTTAAATGCTATATATATATATGTATATTTAACATGTTAAAACTAATAATAAGGCTTGACCATTCTAAATGTAAGATGTTTGTGTTTATTAGTTAAATTATTATAAATACGTATTTAAGTTAATAAGATTTTCTGTTATAATGTTTTCGCTTTGAATAGTGTTGCTTGTAATTGCAAACTCGAAACAAAAATTTATAGTTTATACAATGCTAAAATGTTGAATCAAATTCCCGTTGCGTAGTTGCTGCACAATTCCTAGACGTTGAGACGTACAGACACTAAAATAGAATAAACCACTCAAGCCAAATTAGGAGCACTTCGGTAGAAGGACTTTCACTAAAAATGTTGTAGTTTAGGAGAATTAAATACGATTATTTAATGGATTCTTATCAAACTAATTATGATCACTAAAAAAAAAAAGATGGCGATCGTGGAAACCAAATTGTAGACGTAAATGTAAAAGCCCACACATTTAAGGTTCTTAATTCATCCTTGTTAGTTTGTAATCAATGTAGCTGCATGTGGCTACGGTCATTTTCAAGATCTCCAATTTCGCCCCAAATCATTGCGTCTGCTCCCAAATATCCATATTTATCCTTTATTTGATACTATTAAACAAACACGTTACACACACATATATAAGTAGACGATGTGAAGTGCCAAGTTGTACAAATTGTGAAACAATGAAAGGGATTTTTTTTTTTTTTTTTGGGTGGGGGATCGGCCATTGAAAGGGAATAAAGTTGTGCATATCTCATTATGTTCTTAGTTTGTTAATTTTATTGTTCTGTATAGTAGAAGTTTACTACTGTTTTCTTACTAGTTCAAATAAACTTGTCGAAACCTTATCCATATTTTAATCAACCAAAAAAACTGATAATATAAAGTGACGCCTCATTGAGGGAGGCGTTTATTTGATCTATTCCATTAAAATCTATTCTCATGAATCCATCCAGGCCAAAAACTGTTTATGGGGAGAGGTTAATAATTAGCTCGAATGGCATCCGTACCGTATGTGTGTATTGTAATTTGTAGGGAATGAAAGCGATAACACTGCTTTTGAAAAAGTCGTTTATCATCAGACATCTCACGTGGCTGAAATTTTTGAAACTGATAGTACCGATATTTCTAACATCATTACCGAATTCATTTATTATTTTAGGTTATAAAATCAAATAATTTCAGATTCTAAGTTAATGTTTTTTTTTTCTTTTCTAATAACATGTATTTTATCGAATTTCAATATAGACAGTCATACCTTAATAATATCAAATTAAAATACGATTGATGATGGCCATCAAGGGTACTAGTATATAAAAACTAGCATGAGGTAATAATGTTTTGTGTCGGAAAGTCGTTATTGATAACTATCTTCCCGTTCTTTCTTTGAAAAATATGTTCACGTGAAAACATTTTGATCGATGTTTTCAAAGTGTGTGCCCAACTTGCCGCATGGAAACAAATAGGTGTGTAATATGGAATTATCAAACAAACATCTGTGCCAACTTGTCCAAATATTAATTAGTACTTTACCTTTAAGGGACTGTATTAATCTAACATTTATATAAGACAATCCATCCAAAAGACTTACCAAAAAAAAAAAAAAAAAATCATCCAAAAGAGATCTTCTTACAATTTTATAGCTCAAAATAGACATGAACACTAGTATAAACCACATAAGAAAAAAAAATCTAACAAAATCGACAAATATATCACATCAAACTCTTAGCGATACATTACTAATATATGTATTTATATATGTTGCATAATACGAAAATATATTCCTTAATATCTAGGTTTTAAACTAGTACGTTTTAGAATAGGCATTAATCAAGGACAAGGCGTTGCTGGTTTCTTGACCCACGTGTACGATTCTAGCCCGAACCGAGTTCTTGATCCGTCCATCCATGACCGAACCCGAGAATCCATCGGAGCAAGTGGTTTCGTCGGTCAAAGCCGCACTAGTCCAAGTCTGAGCATTACTCATGTGGAACGAAAACTGTTCCTGATTCTTGGCACTCCCACACAGTTTCATCTCTTGGACAGACTTGGTCAAACGGTCGATGGTATCGTTGATCTCCTCGACGCAATCATGGATGGCTTCGACTTTACGCTTCTTAAGGCCCTTGAAACGGGTCAGACGAGAGAGGAAGAGCTTTAAGTTTTGGGCTCGGCTCAGGGTAACGGCTAGAGCGGTCTCGGCTAGGCGTTTAGGGCTTGTTTGGATGGCGTTTGCGTAGGCAGAGAGGGAATGGAAGCACACGGCTGGATATTCTGTGGTTTTGCAAGAGGCTTGGATGAAGCTTACGGCTTTTTTCGATGCTCCGGCCGGCAAGGCTGCGGTGGCGGCGGTAAGCTCCGGTGAGAAGAGGTAGGAGATTGAGAGGATTAAAAATAGAGTTTGGAATTGTTTTGCCATTGGTGTTTCTTGCGAAAGAGAGAGTAAAGTTGAGAGAATTGAGTCTGTGTTGTGGAAAGAGTCGGGGTTAAATATTTATAGTGGGTAGAATCTTGTCTAGAATATACTTATATAACTATTTTTGATAACACGCTCTGTAAAATATTAAAAAGCTGTGAAAACGGAAACATACAGAAAGTGGAATAGACTTTCACAATTTGGGAATATGTTCAAATTGGTGAAGTTATATAATCTGATGATAAAATTTAATTTAGTTTAGGTAAACATCTATATAAATTAAATTTCTATGCGAAACATATCCTTAAATTTACGTTATTTTAGGTTATTTTTATAAACAATTTTATGTGAGTTGCTCAATCGAACAATAGAGTTACTGTGTCAAATGTCAATCTACCGAGACAACCTGTACGTGTGAAACCAATCGGAGTCGGAGGATGTTATAGTAGCGCACGGGCACGGGCAGGGGCAAGGGCAGGGCTCAATTATTAGCTGGAATTGGAAATGACCCGAATAGCTTGATATTGTGTTTTTCTTTCTATTTTTTTTTCTCATATAAAAAAGGATCATGCCAGGGTCCACTCGACGTCGGTCCAGATCATAACGTGAGCTAGATATCATATCAATGCATATATTATATATTAAGCATAATTAGAAACGGAGTAGAGATTAACATTTGTCGTTTTATTCGGATCAAGAAGAGAACAAAAGGAGCGATAAAGGAATTCCACCAATCAAGCCGTAATATATTACAAGGAAATAATGATTATATTTATTTAACGCTGTCATAATCGAACAGTGGCCAGATACGGTCATAGATAACTCTCCTAATCAAATGATCACATTACTGTTTTAAACGTCTGAATAAATGTTTTGGGTAATAAATTTAGGCAACTAGTTTATCCAAGGACGGCAATAAACAAACTCATTTTTTTTTTTGCCAATCACACCAAATAATCACGTAATAATCGTACTTATTTTATTATGAGTACACATTCTACAAAGTTCCATTTTCCCATTTGTAGCATTTGTAAGAAAAGATTCCCATATAACAATATGAAAATCTAGCTATCAAATTTGTATGGGTTATGAGTTATGACCTTAATTTATAGACTTTAATTTATAGTATTGATGTATAATTTTTTTTAATGAAATGAAACTAATTGTTTAGATAGTTTACCGACATAGAACCGCACTGTTGAGGTACGGAGCAGAGTAGTTGGCCTCTATGGTTTAAAATGATTTTTTTGTAAGAAGTTTAAAATGATTTTTTGAAAAGAAGTTTAAAATGATTTTTGATAAGATGTTTCAAATGATAACGGTACACCTTCTTGGATACTGTACTAAAATATCTATTTTGTTTGTTTTTGCTGTTTTGGCGAGAATAAAATATCTCCCTAGGAGTTTTGAAATAAAAGTATTGTATGGGTGGATACTTTACTGTTGAATAGAATAAAAATTTTGGTCCAATTGGAAGTTGAGAAAATAATTAAGGGACGAGGACGACACGTCGAGGATGAAAATAAGAAAGAAATCCCACAAAATAAGGCATGATAAAATGCAATAAAACAACTTAACAAATAATTCTCGCCTCAGCATGTGATCGACGAACGTGATCCAGAGATTACTGAGTCAAGTGCACAGTCGTACCACCCTCCGTATAAAGCGTAAAGTATATCTGTATATGTATTTATTTGTTGAATTTAAGAATCAACTTTTCTTTTGTATATCTTTTAAGTATATCATCTAGATATTGATGTATTGTCAAAAAAAGGGTGCAGCGTATCCAGACTAATGAATAGTATGGACTTTCGACTGAAAAGGAGTGGGAAAACATTTCAATGGACATCCGTACAAATAGATTTTCCATTGAAAAAAAGTCTCACTTTAACAAAAATCCGACAAAGTTGGTTTTATAAATAACCTAGTTATTCACAAAGTGGAAATTGGGGTATGTGGGTCCGAAGTGTATAATGTATTAAGAAATAAGAAGAAATCGAAGACTTAAAAGGTCTAATAATATCGTTACGGCCCGAGGTCACTCGTTGAAGCCCAAAACAACCAAATTTCTTGTTTCTCAATGGTGTTTCTGGTCTTCTTGTGTGCAATTTATTGGCATGTTAAAAAGTTCTGTTTGTTGAGCAAATAGCTGGTAAGGTCGTACAATGATGAGTGGGACGAACAAACTTTTTATTCTCCTTCTTCACTTCTTTGTTTCTACTTTCTCGCATACTCTATGCCTTCACTTCAAAATCTGGTCTTATGCTTCTATCACTGACATCAATACAAACAATATAGTATGTCCATTCAAAGACAAACTACATGATTATTCTGGCTAACGGAATCGAGCAAAATATGAGTGTCAATGGAAATGGACTCAAACATATATTTCTTTTTACCAACTACTTAGAAGTGTTGAGAAATCAAAAAAAAATTTGTCGGAAAGTAAAGAAAATTAGTTTCTGATCAATCAAAATTATTGGATAAATTTATGCATGTAACAAGGTTATAACGCTTGATCATACGAGATACGAGATACGAGATACATTCACAAAACAGTTGCTCTTCAAAAGGGGTGTGCAGAGACGTCCAAAAAAATTTAAAATTTATTTAATAATGATTTCTTAAAAAATATTATTCATTTTCTCTAAAAAAATCATCATTACAGTTTGTCAAGCTTCAAAGAGAAGTCTCATGTTCTTTTTCTCTTTTTTTCTTCTCTATTATTTTCTTGTCATGATCAAAACGCAAGTAGCATGATCTTTTTTTTTGTCCCCTCTAAAACATGTGGATAAATATCAAATATACTAAAGTACTATAAGATTTGGGAAATAAGATAAAAGGTATAGCTTAATATATTTTGAATATACAGTATATGTCATATATGCATATTTTGCAAAAGATGAGAAAATATGTATATTTATTATTTTCATTTTAGCCGTTGCCGAGTAAATGACAATTTTGTAATTGTACATATAAAATGTAAACGAAATGTCATCGAATTCATGAGTAATCCAATATGAACTGTAAAAGCTAACAATGCTATAAATTAAGGTGGTATTTTTTTGTCTTGTTTTGAACATTATGATATGAAGTTTTTTACGCTATATATTATAGTACGTTAAAGTAATTAATCACATTGTCAAATTGTTAGAAATTTTAAAAAGTTACACATCGAATTGTGATATACATAGCTCAATTAGAAATGTATCAAATGATTTTATAACTCGGCAGAAGCGTCCCAAATTTTTCTTTGGAAAAAAAAGAGAAATTCATATTCGACTTTTCAACATCCATCGTTAAATACGATAACTATATGAAATCAAGCTATAATATTAATAATAATTATTTATCTTTTTTTTGATAAAAAAAAAAAGAAAATCTTAAGCATCCCAAAGAAAGGGCCAAGAAATTCCTTACGTGTGTATATATATATATAGTTAGTTAGTTGAGATAAACTTGGTTACCACTTTTTGTGTTAATTCTTAAATGTTCCATTTCTCGAGACCTCTTGAGTTAATTTAGCTAATCACTTTCATGATTTCGAAAAACAATAAACAAATAGAACAGTAATAATGGTTGGTCGTAAACCATGTTGTGATGAGGTTGGATTGAGAAAGGGTCCATGGTCGGCGGAAGAAGATGGGAAACTTGTTGATTTCTTAAAGACACGTGGCAGCGGAGGAGGATGGTGCTGGAGAGACGTGCCAAAACTGGCGGGGCTAAGGCGGTGCGGCAAAAGTTGCCGTCTCCGGTGGACCAATTATCTCCGGCCAGATCTCAAGAGAGGTCTTTTTCTTGAAGAGGAAATCCAACTTGTCATTGATCTTCATGCTCGTCTTGGCAATAGGTCTTCTTTCTTTTTCTTTTTGTGTTAGGGTTTAGATTTTAAGGTGCATGCTTTAAAATTGGAGTTTAAGACTTTAAGGTTTTGAGTTTCGACTATTTTTGCTTTGAGAGACTATGTTTTTAAACAATTTTCATGATATAAAAAAATTTTCGGTCAAAAATGTTAACGTATATCAAAATTTTTATAATGATGTACATTTTGTAGATGGTCGAAGATTGCAGCAGAATTACCGGGAAGAACAGACAACGATATAAAAAATTATTGGAACACTCATATAAAGAGGAAGCTTATAAGAATGGGTATTGATCCAAACACACATCGTCGGTTTGACCAACAAAAAGTCAACCACGAGGAGGAGAAAGATGATGTACCTGTGGTTTTGCAGAATGACACGTCAGCACCGTTATCAGGGAATCTAAACCAGTTGTCTGACGTGGACGGTGATGATCAGCCGTGGAGCTTTTTAATGGAAAATGATGACGGAGGAGGAGGAGGAGGAGAGCTCACGATGCTTTTGTCCGGCAACATTACGTCATCAAGCTCTTCTTCGTCGTCGTTGTGGTTGAAGTATGGAGACTTGGGATACGAGGATTTAGAACTTGCATGTTTCGAGGATTAGCAGATTAAAAGTATGTTTTATTAGGTCCTAGCTAGGTTAACTATTGTGAGGTTCCTTGACTTCATCCTATATATATACGCATATATAGGTTCATGTAGTTGGACCAAATCACCAAAATAACGAATAAAACATAGTGATTTCCAAACTTTCTAATCAATATTTAATAAAACCTGCTTTTAACACTTTTAATGTCACTAGGAAGTTCATAGACTCCACATATTTTCATTTGAGACTTACAGCCTACACGTATATTTTAGACTTTCGAACTTAAGTTTTTCTACATATTTGTATATAATCAGAACTTAAGTTAGAAATACAGCTTGAAGAAAACTCTGTAAATATTTGTAAATTAACGCAATAACCAAAACACCGAAGTTTGTTAGTTGTCCACAAGGAAACTCTCAAACTCAGTATAAAGATTTTGAAGCACTGATCAAAATCTTGGCTAATACGAACAATTTCAATAAAAAGTTTAGTACTAAATAGTTGTTGCTTTTTAGTTTTAATGTTGACGATTGGTTTCAGCAGCTGTTTTGGGTCTTGAGACAGTTCTGCTGAAGAAAGAATCTCAAGAATTTTTTCTTTTTTTACATCAGAATTTCCTAGAAACAAGTTAATTTAGTCTGTGTTATCATTTGTAGACAACTACAAACAAAACAAAAAAGAAGAAGAGGATCGGAGTTGTTACATTTTGTATACATGTGTGAGAGAAGGACAGAGAGAGGGGGAGAGAGAGAGAAAGAGAGAGGGTAGTTAATGCTATGCTTTCAGGCTTCAGATATGAAATCTTGAGATTCTTGAAGAACCTTGAGGGGTTTTATGTTTCAGGCTTCAGAATTCAGATATGAAATCTCTATAGCTCTTCTGCTTCCTAGCTAATACTATGCTTTCCAAGTTATTATTACTTTTTTTTTTGGTTCTTTTCCTTCCTATTCCTGAAGAGCACAAGGCTTGAACAGGAGCCAATCTGCTCTTGAGGTTAGATGATGATTATATATATATATATATTTATTCATCATGTTTCGGGTCGTGGTGCAGATGGGTTTGAAGCTTCCGTTGATTCCTTAGCGTTCTTTAGGACAAGGTCGTAGTTGATTGAAGCTAGTTGTGACAGGTTCTGACAACAACAAAACAGCATTGTCAAAGAGAGGGAGAGTGAGAGCTTATTTCAGAAATTAGACAAATTTACAAACAAAGATTGGGATCAAATAACTGACCTTGAAAGAAAAATTGCTAAAGGAATATTTCACAGCAAGATTCGGTCCATTTCCAAATTCTGCTAAGCTACCACACTCATCACCCTGTTTTAGAGCATGATAAACATTTATTGTGGAACTTAAAGTGTGCCCTTCGGTCCAGAGCAATGAATGAGAAATGGAACTAAAGGATAGAGTTCAAAGAGAGTCATACATCTTCCTCCTGTGTGTTGAAAGAGCTGCTGCTGCATGTATCTGTAAGATCATCAAAATCGCTGCCTCCATGAACATTTTCGTCTTCTGGGTTCCATATATATCTGCTCATGAAATAACTAGTGTCTTGTGGTTCGGCTGATGGTACAAACATAGCCTGTAACAACAGATAAACAAAAATAAAAAAGTGAAGTACCAGGAAGTTAATTTGTGTTCAGAATATGGAAAGAACCTTTTGCCTGGCAAGCGTGTCCCAGTTAATATCTTTGAAAAAATGATGCTGTTTCACCTGTAAGGAGATTTTCAGAGACAGTGGAAAAAAATCGATCCAGGCTAGCTACAGGGTGAGAGCTTTACCTCTCCAGCTCCCGTTGCCCCGAGTCTTTGGACAGGATTTTCAATTAACAGCCTGAAACATAGGCACAATGTTACCACAATCGACATGTATTTTCTCAGTAGACGAAGTACTTGTTTCACTTGGATCGATTAAGATGCATCCCAGCAAAACATGGATATGGAGAACGTACAGATATGCGAGAAAGATATTAAAGTTTCTGAGATTTATCTGCAGAAGGTATGTGATCTTACTTGTTGATCAGATCTTGTGCTTCATAAGATATCTCCTCTGGCACATTAGGCCATGGTATATCTCTGTTAATTATATTTTCAAAAATTTGCTGCAAACCCATGAATTAAGGAAATGTTATGCCATGAAAATTAAGTCTTGATATCTGATGAAATTTAGCATGAAAATATACCTGTGGGGTTTCTGCATTGAAAGGAGGAATACCAACGAGAAGCTCAAAGAGAATAACACCTACTGACCACCAATCAGCAGTTTTACCTGTAATGAGTGATAATATAAGTCCATGAACAGAAAGAGAAAGGAAGATATACTTGTGAAATACTAACCATGACCCATTCCAAGAAGTATTTCAGGTGCAAGATAATCAGGTGTTCCAACAACTTCATGTTTTTTACGACTGTCTTTGCCTTCTGAATGTTGCGCTTTTCCATCTTCTGCGAAAAACCCACTATTTCCCAATGATGAATCACCTGATAAGTCATCTGTGCTGTTGATAAGACCAACCTTGGAAAGCCCGAAATCTGTCAACTGTATTATTATAATGGAACAAATTTTGTGAGAAATGTGCACCAAATCAGAATGCGTAAAGCAAAGCTTTCAAATGAATAGATATAGACCTTGATGTGACCATCCTGATTGATCAACAAGTTGTCTGGCTTTAAGTCTCTGTGAATGATATTTACAGAATGCAAATACTCCAGTGCAAGCACCTGAAAAAGAACTTGATTAAGTTCAACTTCTATCATGGGAGAGTTAAGTCTTAATCCTGACAAAAAGTTGAGTTAAAAAAAAACGGCCTTACAACTTCTGCAATATAAATGCGGGCCATGTCTTCGTCCAAGCAACCAAGATTTCTCAACAAGGAAAAGAGATCACCGCCATTCAAGTACTCCATGACCAGATAGAGATTTTCACGGCATGTGAAAGAATAGAAAAACCGGACCTGCACAGCTAAAAGAAAACATTAGAGAAAGCACCACAGTTTTTTCACAAATGTATTCATGAGGGCAATTATACATTGCTTGACATTACATACCACGAATGGGTTACGAACTGATATAAGGATGTTACGCTCCGCTAAAATACTCTCAACAGCATTCTTACGGATCATGTCAGCCTTCTTTAAAACCTGTAACAATGGTTTAGACAACATTGGGTTACGCTAAGAACAAATTCCTAGAGCCAAGCTGGAAGAGTAGTATGTTAGTAACCCCAACCTTTATGGCAAACAAATCACCAGTTGCCCTTTTTTTGGCAAGAAATACTCTTCCGAATGCACCTCGGCTGATTGGTTTTATAATTTCAAAATCTTCTATTGATGTTCGATCTTTAGCGCGTGGATTAAGTGGGCTTGCCCGTAAGCTACGCACTGTATCCTCATCGGCTGAGCTTTCTTCATCTGCCATGGCGTTTGACGAGTCTACTTTTTCATCATCAATTAGTCCACAAAGTTCAATGTACTTCTCCCTGGATTTGAGAAACAATAAATCAGCCTGACTGTATTTGCATTTAAACAGTAGTGACGATCAGAACACAGGATAAGTAAAAATGATTACTGCAATAGCTTCTCTATGCGTCTTCCAAACGTTTCTACGACGAGGGCATCTGCCTTCCTATCCTGAATGACGTACTTTAGCTCATCCAACTGCTCAATCATGAAGTCCAACGAACTGTAGCCACATAGATTCACACTTGCCACAGAACGAGCAATTTCTAGCAACTTGTTAATCTGTCAACTCAAAGGAGAAAATAAGGATCAATTATGAGAAGTCGAACTGGCAGCTGAAAATGAGAATTCACGCAATATGGTGAGTCCTTGAATCTAGCGTCGAGTTGGGAATTGACAACATGACTGTATTGGCAGATGGCTTCTTCATTGGCGTGTCTTTGTTGATATGAAATTCGCGCGGTTGCAAATGTCTAGGCATGGACGTCTACTTACGCAATATCAAATCAATGGCTAGAATGTGAAGCAGAAACAATAGAATATAAACATTTTACCTGATGATAATTCTCAAGCTCTGTTAATGTTTTTCGACCACTTAGTAGCAAATCTACTTGGCTTGTCCTTGGTGTTGCTGGTGATGGTGGTGTCAAGCTTCCTGCTGACGAGTCCTTTGCTCCGTTAATCATAGACACTTCATTCAAGATCTTGAGTTCATCTAGAGAAAATATATTCTCAGAATGAGGAACGCAATCCATCATTTCATCTGAATATCTCTGAGAGATTTCATCCATATCTTCATGTCTACTGGATGTTGATAATCTTGCATTATCAGTAATTGCCCTCGGTGTTCCGCACTTTGGTGTCCATGACTCCAGAATTTTCTCAAGACTTTCAGCTACTCTTTCAAGTCGTAAGTTCACATTTATTCCCTTCAAGTCACATCTATCAGCAATCGTGCATATTCGAGAGTGCTCTTCTACATGTACAACTGGTATTTCAACTTCACAGATACGACAAATCATGGAATTATCGTATGTCACACATTGATGATCCGCCCAGAAACCCCACAGAGCACTTCTACCTGCGGATGCAGGCTGGCCTGACGGGCTATGCAAGTTTTCAGCGTTTTCATCACCATAAACTTTTGGCTGGATTTTGCTCTCCCCCTTAGCCTTGGGAGTTGTATTGGCACTACGGTTTTTCTCGGCAGCAGATGGAAGCTTCTTCCACGATGACATCCGGAAACTTGAAGTAGAATCAGTACTTTTAGCAGTATTTACTTCCATCCCATCAGCTCCACTGCTCGGGTTCTGATCGAGATTATCTTGTTTACCAGCTAGATTATGCTTTTCATTCATCTTTTGGATGTCCTTCTCTCGAAGAAGATCCTGTTGCCGCGAGATTTCTACCATCTGTTCTGGATAAACACCGAGATCACTGAGCTGGTGCATTCCCAGAATGTGTTCTTCAACATAACCGCTCTCTTTACGAAATTGCACAAGCCTATTGCAACGAGTAAGGATGAAAAGAAGACGATTATGAGCCTGCTTGAGGCCTCCCATGGGTAGCTCCTGACGTTTATCATCTAGTTTCTGAACAATATCTTCACATTTCACCCAGAACTCACTTGCTGGCATGGTTGCACATTGCCGAGCCTTAATTAACAGATCCTCCAGACCCATTCTTAATTCTTTGTTAGATTCTGGAGTGCTCTCTAGTGTGGTGACTAAGTAGCCAGCAAAAACTCCTAAATCGGCATCAACATCTTCCTTTTGTCTATCAAACTTCGTTCTGATTGCTGCCATAATCTCCTAAAAAAAAGTCATCAACCAAATAATAAGAACCCTCCCAAACTCAACTCAGCTCATCAGAAGTGTAAAGAGGCAGCAATACTAACCTCGAGGTGGCCAACTGCTCGAGATCTCCACACGGGGAAAGGTCGCACGCCTTTAGAATTGAGTTCGTGAGAGAAGCTCTTGATGTCATGAGCTTTCTTCTTCCGTCCACTTGTGACACGCAATATCGCCTGAAAACGTGGAGAATGCGTTTCCTTTGCAAGACCTACATGAGAAGTCTGCATCGATATGAAGAAGAAAAAAAAACAATTCTCATCAAACATCAAATGAGCTTTGCAATTAGCATGTGAATTTGAAAACCATACAAATTAAGAAGATGACTCACCTCTAACCCTGGATTGGGATTTGCAGGCACCCGTAGAGATTTTGATTGGCTCCACTGAACTTTTTTCCCTAAGAAAAAAAACAACATCATGGTCATTAGGATCATGATCTGCAGCAGAAAAGCTCAGAAACATTCCAATCAAGTGGAATTTCGGATTCGATGTTTGAAAATTCATAAATCCTAGATCGAGCCAAAGGAACAAAAAGGTACCCTGATCGGGTTGATGAGGAGGAATCGGCCATCTCGCACGGGCATCGGCACGAGCATCAGCAGCCCCAACCCTAGGTTTCTCCTTGACGTCCTTATCATCCTGAATCGTCGGAATCAAAGGCGTGGCCGACGAAAATCGTAAGGGAGACGGCGCCGGAGATGATTTCGTCCTGATATGGTTGAGACCTAAGGAAGAAGGAGCAAGGATTTCCGGCGAATCGTGGCTCGTGGAACCTTCCGCAGCTAATGCCGGCGGGACCTCGTCGGCCTTCGCTGCTTCTTGTCCTTCCTTCTCCGTGGCCGAGTGGCGGAAAGGAATCGCAGGGATCTTCTTCAGGTGTTTCGCGCTGGTGGAGGTCGGCGTAGAGACGGTGGTCGATTGAAGATCCCGATCATTCTCAGGCGACGGTTCCGTCGTAGACATCGGCGACATTTGTTATACAATAGAGAAAATCACCTTAGTTTTTTCAAGAGGATTAATTGAATTTTCATATTTACATTCTAATTTCTTTTTGTTGATTTATCCTTTATCAAAACCATAACGTTACACAGAAGCGGTTTGCGAGAGAGAGAAGACTGAGGTTTTCGCGGGAAGTGATTCGCTCAATGCGTGACATTGTATATATATTTATCCGTTTTACAAAATAAACTAGCTCCTTAATATCTATATTTTTATAGGTTTTTATGGTAACTTGTTTTCTTTACTCTTCTTTAAATTGTAAAAGCTAAAATTTAAAAATAAAGGATTGGACCTAATCAAATGAAAACTCATAAATTAAAATATTTATCCTAAAAATATACAAATATATTTATATAAGTTATCAATTATTTTGATTTTTATTCCAGGTGTATATCAAATTTAATTCAGCAAAATTAGTTAATAATATTAAAACCAAATTGTTATTAAGGTTATGAGTATTAATCAATTTTCTTTGTTTAGTTATGTTTGGATACGGAGAAAGTTACTGTTATCCTTAATTCCATAGTGATCAACTTATATAATTCTGACTCAGTTTTTAAAAGTCATTTTTCTCTTTCAACACCTAATTAATTAACGAATAATGATATTTCATAATTTTGTGTAGTTCTAAAGAATATTCATGTGGAGAGTGTCCATATCGAAAAACGTGCTTCCAACAAATGCATGTCTTCCCCATTTCTAGAAACGAAAATCACCCAATCTTATAGCTAAATTTAAAATTAGCATTTCTTGTTGTTTTCTTCAGGGTTGACTAAAAAACACGGTTTTAAGATATTTTTGGTTAAACTTCTAGAAAGAAACATCTTTAAACAAAAAACTTCTAGAAAGAAATATCTTTAAAAAACAAACTTCTAGAAAGATACATATTTTCTTTTCAATTACAAAACGTTTATACTTGATACAGTAAACCAGAAACTAAATCATCATAATGCATTTTTCTTTAATTTTTTTGTATGAATATTCCAAATGATTAGGCCGAACAGAAATACAGAAGCCCATATAAGTTTGGGTTTTCAAGTTTTAAATGAGAAGGTATTACTTACAGCCCATTATCGTGATAGAGAATTATAAATAACAATTTTTTGAGACCTTTAAAATAGAAATCACTTTACATCTATATCTAGATCGAAAACATAAGCATTTATCAAGATCGAGAACATGATTTGGGATCCTCTTAAAAGGGGCAGAGCTTTTTTTTTTTTGTTCACAAGTGCGATTACTTCAATTACAGATCTTAAAGCATATTTAGCAAAGCACATATAACCTTTCAAGAGACGACATTGTTTATCATAAGAAACAACTCTTGTTTTGGAGTACATTTTGCGAAGAAATTAGTGATCTTTGGCCTCGTTTTCATGAACCATCTCTTCAGCATCGTCAAACCTCTGATCATTGATTTGGAGCTGCAGTGTGAATACAACCGTCGATGAAATACACTTGTTTAAAACAAAATAGGGGAATAATAATAATAAGCAGATGTTATTTTTTATTTACCTCGAGCATAGGCTGAGTGAGACCTTCATCTCCATTGGAATGACCAATTACACTCGTTGGACTCTGAGATATTTGCCACTCTCCATCTTCCGCTGTACAACATAGAACAAAAATGTCACATTTTCTTCATACCATATGCAAGACGAACGTTAACTCGAGTTTGGACTCAGCTTATGGAGACATTACCTCCTCCACGAACATCCATCTGATCAGCGCTAAACACCCAATTATGTCCGCTCTCTTCTTCGTCCTCTGAAAGGTACAATGATACGAAAATGTAAATGGCAGGTGAACCAAATAACTGCATTAAACGAGATGATAGTAAGGTTGTATCTTTATGCTTACCTTCAATTGGTTCTGGATTGAGCTCAGCACACTCGCAGAATATATCAAATAGCGTATCTACTGTCACAGAGAAGACAAATTACTTAGCGTCCTGAGACTCTTGTAATGAAACAAGGAATTACAGTATAACCGATTCAAATTTAGCTCTTAAGACTGCTACATATAAACTCACACTGGCTAGAGTCTGAAGGAACAAGCCTCATCTCTCTGATTTTTGACAAGTCCAAAACTCCGGTGGATTCTGTATCAGACTCATCGTCATCCTCATCTTCTACAACTTCAATCTTCAAAAATAGAGCCATTAACTTAGACGAAGAGAATTAGAGAACACAAAGAAATGGAAAAGCAAGACAACTCGTGCAAACATCAAGCAGACATCGAACCAAAGCTCTAAGCCAACGCTTATGGACACTAAAGAAACATATAGCATTATCACTCATATCAAATCCAACCAAAAAGTATAAGCCATTTTCCAAAATTCCAACACGAGTCCGAAACTATAGTACTTGTAACTAATCACAGACACAAGTACTCGAAAATCATATGTGACAAGTAGTTTCTGCTTAAGAACTGATCAAAAACAACAAGAACATAATAAACCCAGAATTTTTTCATCTTATAAAGGAGATTTCAACAAGAGCCGAACTCGCTTTCACAAAAAAATTCAAGTGCAAACAAAAATCCAAAAAGGTGTTCAATACCTGAGTATATATACAAGGAGATGAGTAAGCCTCTGGATCTCTAGAAACCGCGTGAAGCGATACTGATAGGAAATCGACGGCATAACCTTTTGCCATGTCTACATCGCTAAGCCAAATCAACTTCCTGGCCAACAAAAAAAATCGAAAACGAAACACCATTAATGTCCGTAAGCTATGGAAGTCCAATCGTGAAGGATAGAATTGAGATGTTTAACCTGGAGGTGATGTAGAGAGTTCCGGGAGACTCAACGGAGCGATTGCCGAGGACGACGGCGACGGAAGGCTGAACGTGCATAAGTTCCTCACCGTTAGCTTCGTCGAGAACAGGTTTTCCGGAGCCATCTCCGGTTCTAAGCGTGAACTCTCTAAGACCAACCACCATGTTTTCCGATCACAAAGAAAGAAACAGTTTGTTCTCAAAAACTGAAATTTCTGGCAGGGTTTTTCTTAGGGTTTGTTTTCTCAAAGATTCATTGTTCTGTTAACTGATGTGACGAACATTACTGGGCTTTTAATAAAATGGGCTTCGTTAAAAAGCCCATATCTCATTAAACGTTTAACAAAAAAAAAGCTAGTTATAATGGGGGCTTCCCAATTTTCTTAACACTTTGGTCTGGTGGTCCATTTCATTGAAATAACTTATAAAATAAAAATAGTATAATATGATTATATGAGTGAAAAAATGTCATTTTCTTTTAAGAGTGATGGTGTGGGAGAAATGGAAAAGGACGAAATGGGAGTGGTCATGGGGATAGGGGAAGGTTATGGGTCGACCGTCGACGTTCGTGATTGATTTGTTGTCTCGCAGATTCTGACAATGCATACATTAATGAACAGATCATCGTGACTTTCTCTAGATCATACGTCAATAGTGACTTTCTCTAGCTCAAAACCTTTTTTAAAAAAAAAATACTAGCATTCTTCAAGCGATGTCTAATTCAAAGATTAAATGCCTCCTAGTTTGTGTACAAGCCTAAATTAAACCCATGACTTATATATGAAATGTAGAATAATAAGGATTTAAATCGTATATCGAAAGGTGTACTGCAATATTTTTTTTTAGCTTTGAGCATATATATATATGTAGTCAAATGAAATGAGAATCAGACCAAATAAAAATCATGCATTAAGATAATGAATTAATGATACAATAGTAGGCCATATACATCTACGTCTATTTCTCTCTTTTGAAGATTTACAAATACATTTTCTTGTATAGATGTAAATACACCTTAATTAATACTCTAATTTTATTGTTTTTAGTCTTAGATGCCATCTTCTCGTGCATGTGCATTTTTTTAATACTTTATTTCCTAAACATTAAAAAAACTGAAGAATCACAATGTGTTCTACATATGCTTAAGAAAAGACAAACGTAAAATCCAAAATCAAAAAGAAATTAAAAACGAAATACATCTATTCATATTCACACTTACAGAAAAGTCCTTAATTAATAATAAGACTTTTTTCACCCTTCATACAAAACACTCCAATACCAATCAAAACTCTTTATAATTACTCATACAAAATAACTAATCTTCTTACTACTCTCACTCGTCTGAACCATCACAGAGGTGGTTTTTGCTCTTAAGTACCCAATAATATAGAAGTTTTAAATTAATTAAGCTTCAATAATCGCTTCTCCTCGTGGAACCCTAACCCTAAACACATGTTCCTCTCCTGTGCATTTATCAACCTTCACCACCCAATGACTCTTCCTCACATGCTCATGATGGTGATGATGATTGTTCTTGTTTATCATTGTCATCTTCTGATTATAATTACCATTATCGTTGACCCTCGTCAAAAGCAATCCTTCTCCTATGGGCAGAAACTGCGTTTTCCTCCCATCGTTAAACCTCCACGACCCTCTCGAAAACGCGTTATATCCCACCACAACCGCCACACCGCTTCCACCGCCGTTTCTTGCGTTTTCTTCATGGTGATTAACAATCTTTCTAACGATCTCCTGGTGGTTCTCGAGGTTACAATCGACGAGAACGAAATCGGCTTCTCCGAAATGATCATTAATTAGAGTGTTGTTGTTAGATTCTCCGATTACAAAATGTATCTGATGTATCTCTGATGGTTCCAACATTTTCTTGGATATGATTAGTTCTTCGAGGCCACGTAAAACGCATACCACTTGACCGCGCGTTTGATGAGCCGCAGCGATTAGGGCAACAAGTATGTCGGCGTTTACAGCTCCGGCGCAAGCTACGGTGATCTTTTTAGCGTTATTGCCGGCGGCTAGAGCTGATATGAATTCGGCCACGTTTGGTTCTTTTGTTCTTTGATCCTGCAAAACCATATAGATACATGTCAAAATGTGACACTAATTCAAGAAAACTAAACTAGATAAATATTTTTTTTTTCTGTTTAGAATCGATTGATTTAAACAAAAACCGATTTTAATTTGGCTCAGACAGATCTTATCATTAATTTATACTAATATATAAAAAGAAACAAATTCTTACCGTTTTGAGTGTACTAAGATAAGCTTTAGTAGCATTCTCAGCAGACCAAAACGCCATTTTCTTTCTTATTAATTGAGAATCTTAGATACAAAATCGGATTTCTCTTAATCTTATGCTTAGAATTTTAAAGTGGTCGATGATGGTTTGGTTTTAAGAGTGAAGACTGTCTCTATATATATGGGCAGATTTTTGAATGGGACAAGATTCAAACAGGCTGGTCCAGTTTCATGAATCTTTTCTTTTTGATATAAATAGATGGAGAAGAGAAAATAAATTTGGTCAAGTTGTAATAGTATTCAACATGCGCATACACTATACAATATGGTATATCTTATATATATAAAAAAGCGGATTGTCTCATTGTCGAGAGACTAATCAGCTACTGTCATTGTTATGCTCCTTTTCTTTATTATCTTCAAATTAAATTAGACCATGTTCAAGAGTTGTTCTTAGGGGAATTTAATAGTTAATTAATCGCCATTTTAGCAAATTGCATCCCAATTCTTATCATAAGTAGAAAATATAATTTTCTTTTTGTAAACTAGAAAAAATATATACTCGCACATTACGTGTGAAGTAAAAGGAAACAACACTAATGATTTTCAAAATTCTGCTGTTATAAATATGTTTTAAATCGCATTAGTTTGTGGTAATGATCGTTATATATATTCAGTATAAACACGTGTTTACATGGAAAAAATTGTTACTTAAACAAATATAAACAAAACCCCTCTAAAAACGATATATCATGGCTTAAAGGCTTAAATGTTAGTCATCATTAGTCTGGATGTTCGAACATGTATACATGCATCTTTAGGAACACAAACAGTAAGATATTATATATATATATATATTAACTTTATATCATGTATAGATAATTTTCAACGCTTTATTACACAAAATATTATTAGTTTTCACTAACTAGAAAGGAAAACAGAGTTTGAGCTATGAGGATCAATGAGCTGTAATGTCTAGTGCAGCAGGGGCAATGGAGATCTCAATGAGATTAAATATATAAAATAAAAATTCAAAATATAGTGAAACAAAGAAGTGAATTGAGATTAATACACATCTTAGGGACATAGAGAACATGGGTCCATGTTTGTTCTGACAACAAGCCTACAGTTTTTCTTACAAGATTAGATTCTCGATTTTACAAAACTAATGAGAACGTACGCTTTATATTAATTGATTTTTAATAAATTAAGTTCTTGATTGTACAATCTAGTGACCGTCCTCTCTCGTACGGGTTTCCATGAAGCTTCATACACACTTAATCTATATTATGCATTAATCATTGTGCTAACCAAGACTGGGAAATGAATGCTATACTATAATGCTGAAACATACATGTACTCTATAATATGATATCATATAATTAAATCAAATGGCTAAAATTCGTCTTGTACGTAGTAGCAACCATTCATAATCGAATGTTAGTGGAATTATATTTGATATAAAAGGAATTTTAAAAGTACTTTGAAATAGATATATTGAACTGGTGATTGCTACTAATGAGATGCAGTTACAAAAAAGGTCGTGAAGGATGCGTTGAATCCAAAGGCACAAAGAGCCATAGTGTCCCATGCTGATAGATATGATTCAGAAAAAAATGTTGGAATAGTTTTGTGTTTATTGAGACATGTTCTTTGATGAAGATATTTCAATGTATAATGTTTCTTCCACTTGAACTAGTTTCATGCATCTGTCATTATTATTGCTTTATACCTTATCAAGATAAGGGAATTGGAGGTTAATTTGGCCAGACCAAACTGGTCCAGGTCCGAATAAAATTCTGATCCGGTTCAATTTTAACTTTAGTGTGAAATACTGTGGTCCAAGTGCAACTCGAAACAGTTTATATTGGTTGATTTGGAAATTTAGATCATGAACAATCAGAAAAATAAAGGAAAATATCAAAATCCCAAGAAACTTAATGGCCAAAAAAATATATTTGAATTTTGATCAAATTCACTTTTAATTCAATCCTGAATTTGCTAAAGTCTAACACAATTGGCGATATATAACCCTGTGTTTTTTTGTTCGAGTCAGATCAGATCCATTCTATATCAGTATATGTTATTCGACTTTTTAGTACAGTTGCTGGTGAGATTATGTAAATGTCTCAAATGTGTAAAGCCATCTTTCTTAGCATAATGCAATTTACAAATATGTAAAATTACTTCCAATTCCATTTATTTTCTGGTCCGACGTTCAAATACCTAGTAAATATTTAAGTCTTTAAAGTTGATTTAACGTTAAACGTTTAAATACGCGTAATGTATGCGTACAATTGGAGTTCGATGCATGCACTACAATTATTATAGAGGATTTACCCTAATAATATTTTAAACAGTAGATGTAGACATGAATGCTCAATTGTTATATATCGTCGCGACATATCTCAGAAAAGTCTTCATACGTAGTTTTTCTGATCGACCAAAATCAAGTCACGGGAATATATATATAATATTAAAATATAACAAATCTTGAATCTTGTAAATGGGCAGTAGCCAACTAACCAATTAAATATTGCCATATTGGGATAAAATAATTAATACAACCCAAAAAGAAAAACGAACGTGGGATTGGGATAACATTGAGGAGGAGACAACGATAGAGAACAGTGAGAGGCTACAGATTCTGCTTCGACCATTCCAGGGGACATCATCTTTTATTAGTGTTTTTAAATATTATGGGTGGCTCTTTGTCTTTTTAATTTATTTACTTTCTTTTATATATTACGTGAAAGTAAAATTCAAAAATAAACTCAAACTGGTAAAAAAAAAGACCCATAATTTTAGATTAGTTTTCTAAATACACCACAGCTTTTTAATATAAATCTTAAAAAAAAATATATTAAAATAAGTATTTTAATGAATATGATTCTTAAATATTTGGGCCTAAATAAAATGTTTGGGCCTAAAAGTGTTTGGGGTAAGATTATTCGAACTTCATAGATTGGGACACTGATCGAAAATCGAAAACTAAAGCTACCCATCTTACTATTCAACTTGAGATCAGACAAAAAGCAAAGTAGTTTCAACTTTGACACTCTCCAAAGTAGCACAGGAAACAAATATAAGGGTGGTAGAGCCAGGAAGGTCGCCCCACTGGCCATGGGTCAGAGCCGGGACTGGTTCTAAGGGAGGATCTTACGACGGCGACGCGGCGTTTCACGCTTAACATACATCTTCTCTACTTCGTTGAGAGCCCGGCTCGATCCATCTGGAAGACTCACAAACTTCCAGCCACCACCGGATCCACGTTTGCCCTTGGCACCTAATTTCTCAACCGTGATTTTCCATCCTTCAGATGAACGTCGTCTGCTGTACTTGTGGCACTTCACTTCTCCTCTCCACTGGTTTAAAGAGCAAAACAGAGGATGAGTGTTTTACCATCATCAAGGAGAAATGATCAAAGACAAAAACACGCAGGAGATCTGATATCATCTATCGATAAAAATGGCGTGGATTTATCAAATCTAAACAACCCACAAGCACGCAGCGTTGCCATCATTACTTTGGTTCTTCCTAAGAGAATTACTGACAAACTCCAGCTTTGCCTTTCCATGTTAATTTCCCAAACTACCAAATTTAGAGCAGAGTATCACAAACTTCCTTCTATTCTCAGCACTTAGACATCTTAATCAACCAAGAACCAGACCCCATGAAGTTTGAAGTATCTACAAATAAGCTTTTCTTTTCTAGGTTTCAAGCAGAGCACTTGATGATTAACATATGGAAGGGAAAATGTCTCGATAGACGAAAATGTAGTATGGTTTACAAAAAAAGAAACAAAGGGACTTACTTTCATTTTGTTGAACTCAAACCTCCGAAGAAATTCGTCGTAAAGCATGTCATCCTCTTTTTTTGAGATCTCATAATGGACTTCGTCCATATCTTTGATTGTACCATCCCATCCTTCTGGCATGACCTTGAAGTCGGGTTTGTATTTAAGCGAGGCCACATGGAATTCTCGGTCATGCGAAATGAAGAACCTGCATGAGTTACAAATACTAGTTGAGGGTCTGGGGAAGAAGAAGCCACATATTCAGCAAGTTTGTATCATGAACCTTCACTAGCAATGCTACTGACTACCCCTAATATTCTAAGATATGGAAAAAGGCAAAACGAATCAACTATTCGACCATCTAAACACACATGAGCACTAACATTTCTACATGTAAAACCCAGCCATGTAATTTGTAGTTAAACTCAAGTAAAAAACTGAAGTGGCCTATATCAAAGCACTTACTCAGGGCACTCATCAAGCAAACGCTCAACAGAATCATCCAAGGGACGACCAAGCTTTCTCTCTTCTTCTTCTTCATCTTCTTTAAGAAAAAGAATGGCGTGAACACGCTGCCTCATGATCCTATAATCCTTAGCAAGCCTCTCAACGGTATACACCTCAGGATTCTCTTTATGCAATCTGTACATCTCAGTCTTCTCAGAGTCCTTAAGATAAGACCCTCTAGCTCCAGGTTCCTTGACTTGCTTCAACAACACACTCATCTCCATCATTCTCTGTTTGATCCCATCAACAAAAGCTCTGCTATGGCTATTATCTTGCTCAATCTCTTTAATCAAATCATCATACTCATTCATTTCGTTAACCATTGCGACTTCTTTTGGACCCAATCTGCTCATTACATCGCCTGAATCAGAAGCGGCATTATCAGACGAAGGATTCGCGTTCTTCTGACGCCCAACAGAGACGCCATCGAAATGCTCCTTAGTCAAACCAGTCGTCCACATTGATTTATTGTCCCAATCAGATCCTACTGTATCACCGAATGATCCTCCCGTTGCGATATCCCAACCATTATCGTCGCCTCCAACTCCATCAGATCCTGGTTTCCCGGAAAATGCTCGATTCATGGAAGCCTTCTCAGTCAGAACCCCACGCGCTCTCGTGCTAGGGTTGAGTGAAACAGAGGATAGATATCTAGTGATTCTACTAAGGTTATACATATCTATTGAATTGAATTTCCAGTTACAAATCAATCGAACGTTGAATCTCTGAAAACAAAGCCAAAATAGTAACTAACCACCGATCAAGCATACAAAAATAGAGAACATTCTTTAGCAACCTGAAGATAGGAGAAAGAGCGAGAATCCTTGTTTTTCAAGGAAGTCGAAAATCGGTTCCGTTTAATCGGAATCAATTGCGTGAAGAGAGACCGGTGAAGACCAATGACTGCGCTAAAGGGTTTTAGAATCGGTTTTATTTTTAAGGAGGGAACAGTTTTTCTATTTATGATTTTGCCCCCTCTATTCTCTTATTTGTTACAATGTAACCAAGTACTTGTTTTGTATATTGAACTTTAAACCCTGAATTTTGAATTCAATTGAAACTCTTATAGATTTTTAGTGTTTATATGTTTGAAACAAATAATTATGTGGATTCTTGCAATTGGACAAGACCTTGACTTGAAGCAAAAGTTGAAACGTAGACAAATGACAAAAAGATGTCTTAGTGCGATAATTAAGCATCACATATGCAATTTCATACTCATCCTCAAACCGCATATCATTGATTTTGAATTTAGTTACATAATTTATATCAACAATTCAGAAACTTCTAAGATGATTTTGTACAAATACGAGTCATATCACAAAAGTCTTCTTCGTAAAAAAATTAAATTTCAATAACCTCAACCATAAAACATCTTTTAATAGATGATTTCGACATAATTAATCTACACCGATCAGAAAAACAAATATCCTAGAAAAAAAACACACCCAAAAAAATAAACTCACAACTTAAAAACCCCTCTAAAAAGACAAAGAAAAGAAAAGCTGAATCCTTTTTGGCCAGTTAAGGTCCCTTCCTTCCTACACAAGAAAACTTTCCGACCTTGATGATCCGAGGATTGCTCAACCACTAGTAGATAGGCTCCGAGTATCACCAGAATCATCATCGCCACCATCGTCATAGTCATCTTCGTCTTTGTTAGTACCTGCTGTGTTCGCATTCGCGTATCCGTGATAGGTCGTTGTGAAATTGTTCATAGCTGAAATGTCATTATGGAAAGAAGAAGGCATTTGAGTCATCGGTCTCATGCCTACACTACCACCGTAGGGTTGTTGTTTCGGTTCCTCTGCTGTGGCCACCGCCGGAGAATTAGAATTCACGGTGGTTATGGTGAAACTAGGAGGTTGTAGTTGCGGTAGTGGTGGTGGTGGAGCACAAGCCTCGATGATTCGAGGTTTCTTCTTCTGATTGTGTTCTGCTTGATGCATCACAATGAAACTTCCCATTACCACCTGTAACAAAAATTATAAGACTTTTCAGAGAATTTCTGCTAAAAAAATCCAGACTTTTCTAGACTCTGAAAATGTAAAAATGTCTTCTTTTTGCTTTTTAAGTAAATTGACTCACCTGGACAGGAGCGGCTGCTATAAGCATACCGGCAAGACCACCACCGATGATTTTACCATTAGGTCCAGCTAAAGAAATGCTCATACCACCGGACCGACCTTTTGTTCCTCCGTTTTCAGTAGGCATAAAGGAGCCCGATAGTGATAGTATCTCAAATCGACCCTAACAACAAGGACAAAATATGCAAGAAACCCATTTAACAACCACGAAATATCTATCTCAGAGCATTTCAATATGTTTAATTTTTGGTTACCTCATATGTAAGAGTGCCGCCTGAAGTGGTAGGTTGACGAAGTGTGACATTAGAGATCGAACCAGTTGCAGAAAGAATGCAGATAGCTCTAGATCCTTGCGCGTACGGCATAACCTTCATCGTTACATCCTGATGAAGCAAAAAACAATGACAGACAAAATCCAATAACAACGTTTCAAACTTTCAGCTACAAGAACGTCCCCAAAAAAAAACAAATAATAATAATAATGTTTGGGGAGTTTATTACCTCACCGGCATTGACAGTAAACTGATGAGTTGTAAAATTTGCACCCACATAGTATGAGAGCCCAGGAGGAGGAGGAGCTGTAAGAGATAAAACAAAAGTTGATGAAATTGACTTTGACCAATCAGGTAATTAATAAAATTTCTAACTTGATCATCCATAACAAATCAGTGTTTAAGGCGATGAAAAGGCGGCACCTTTAGGAGGATCTAATCTTTCAAGAACACTTAAGTCCCTTTTATTCACCAGAATTACACAGTAACTAAAACAGATTAACCAGCTAATGAGAAATCTGCGCTAACAAATTAACAATCAACACAACTACTGGATACTCTTATCTTCTAAGGTTAAAAAGGAAGAGACAGAGATTATTCTCTCTTTGATTAAAAAAAAAAAAATCTCCTTTTTATTTCAGTTTTGTTCGGTCAGCATCATCAGATTCTGTTTCTCTGTCTCTAACTGGTCTGTTTGTAGCTTCTTCAGACAAAAGGGTACCCAGCAGCACAATCCAGTTATGCTTGGTCCCACTTGCCAACATCTCAAAAATCCACATAAAATCACATCAACAGATAACCCAAAACCCAGATCTGATCCGATCAGATCAATCTCACTGATACCGATGCAACAGTTTCTAAACCACAAAAGAGATTTGCAAATTTACCTGGGCTGCTTTCATACTCAAATTTATGAGTTTTCTTGACGAAATCAAGAGGTTGCTGCTGCTGGTGAGCTTTTCCACGTTTCCAAGTAGAATGATGATAATCTCCAGATAGTGGAATCGAAGATGAGATTGGAGTTGGAGAGAGAGTTGGTTTCAAAGCCCTAGGATTTAGACTTCCATCTGGAGCGTACTTCCTCGGCCTTCCTCTCTTCTTCTTCGTCGGATCTGACCCTGAGCTGGAGATCAACGGCGGCGGCGCGGTGGCGGTTGAGCCAGGAATCACGGTGGTTGGAGCTGGAGGCGGAGGAGGCGGAGGAGGGGGCACCACCGTCTTGGGTCCCGCGAATTGAAGAAAGCCAGAGTTTTGTTGAAACTCTGTTCTTGAAGCTAAAGCTTCATCTCCCTTAACTGTCATGACTCCACTTGTACTAATTCCACTTTTCTCCTCCATTTTTAATGACCACAAATTCGCAAAAATAGCAGGAGAATTCTGCCCTGTATTCACCAAAAATTGAGCTTTTAGAAGAAACTAATTTGATTTTTTTTTAAGATGAAGAGAAAGAAAGTTACAGAGAGGAGGAAGAAGATGAGAAGAAGCAAAAGTTTCTTTTTTTTTTTTGGTTGAACAGAACAGATTAACTAAGAACAAAATAAAAGAGACTACCAGTTGGAATAGAGACAGAGGGAGATGAAATAGCTCGAAAATATCAAAGATCAAAGCTGAAAATTTTGGTTTACAGTTTTTAGATTTGGTTTCTTACTTTTCAACAATTCTGGAGCTGAAACCAACACTGTAGCAGAGAAATGCAAGAACTCTTTCAATGGAGATTAACCTCAATCTCACCGGAAATTAGCAAGTAATAATCCCCCAAAAATTACATGCAATATCCCCAATTTTTTCACAAGAGAAAGAATATAATTTCTCTCTTTGACGACTGAATTTAGGGTTTTTGCAAAGAAAAAGAGGAACCTAAATAAATAAAATGGAAAATGTCAGGAAAAAGAAATAATATATACAAAAAATATCATGTAGACAGTTGTATTATTTAATACGAATATTAAGGATTTAATTAGTTTAAAATCGATATAATAATTACAAAAATCAAAGTATTGATTTTGGTTTAGGGAAAGATCCACGTCCGTCTTGGAAATTTAATATATCTAATTAAACAAACGATATTTTTAAAGGAAAATGTTAAAAAGAAAAGAAACAATGAAAAAAAAAAGAATACCAACTTCTGACAAATCTCCTTTGTCTTTTTCAAGTTAATTACTTTTGAAGTAAGGTTGACCAAAGAAAATCGCTTTGAAAATCTACTAAGACCAAATTAATTTTCAAGATAAGCTTCTATTTATATTTTACACATGCATTTGTAATAAGTTGAACAACGCGTCACATTTAAGAAATTGAACTTAATTACAAAATCAACTTAAAGTATTTTTAGTTTTAGAAGAGATCATGAGGAGATCAAAACTTAAAAAGATCATTGGAAAATTTTGGACATTGTAGGTAGCAAGTACATTGGTCGGTCAAAGTCAAACTATTCTTTCCGCAAAAACAATCACTGTATGTACACACTTGGATCTGATGAGTTTGACAGAATACAAATGATCCAATAATCATTCAGATTCCTTTATCTGTAAGATCCTCTTATTGAATTAGCAGGTGTTCATTATTTGAAAATTTCGTTTAACACATTGGTCAGTTAGTTTCTCTATGATCTCTACTTTCTTCCTTTTTTGGTCGAAATGATCTCTTGTTCCTATGGCTCACTGGAAATCGTCATCTTCATGTCCTGCAAGCCCAAATAAATTCCACTGAAAGAAGAACATTACTGCTAAGGAATCATTGTCTGTAAAAGACGGAGCAATTAATTACCAATTGATAAAGGTAAACTAAAAAAGACTGTTTTTTTAGTCTCTGCTCTATCTTTCAGCCATGGCGTGATTGTGGAGTGATAGATTTTGCTGAGTGAGGCGAATCAGTTCGAGGAGTTTGAGGTGATGATGATGCAAATCTCTTGTTAGTCGATACTTTAAGACTCTTTTTCGCGCTTTGAGGCCTCGTAGGAGTTCCTTTCTCTTGCTCTGATGTCACTTGTCCTTGAAGTTTCTTCAGGTCCTAAAACCAACAAAATCCAACAAGCATTGTTATTTTTGGTGATTCTTGGTATAAGATTGATGTAAAAGAGTTGTAGCTAAACACCCTTTTCCTACGACGTTCTTGTTCTCTCTCTTCTCTGAGTTCTGTATACTCTTCGAGCATCGAAAGTAGACGATTCTAAAAAAGAAGAAAATCGGATTAAAATATCAATGAAATACGTAAGGAGAAAAGAGAAGAGGAGATGATCTTGTTTGAGGGTAGAAGATATATCATACACCATCAAATAGAAATTCAGCTTCTTTCTCTGATTCCCAAATTTTAATCTTGGAAACTAATGCTTCAACCATAGCTAAGAATAATAAAAAAGATTTTCAGTTAGATAAAGCTTCACAAAGATAACTAAAACAATCTGAAAACTTTCTTTGGATCATCTATATGAAACCTGGAAGTTTATTAACAAGTGCTCGCGCTTTCTCTGCTCGTTTGAGGATTAAATGAGATCCTTTTCCAGCGTTGTATCGGTTTTCATCCTATACAAATCATAAAATCCATAACCACAAAATTGTAAAAGAATATATTTTTATTAAAAAAAAAAGAGAGAGAGACAAACCTGATTATACTCTTCAAGCCAATTCTCTTCCTCACAAGCATTCAACCATTTCTCAGCTTTTTCAAGAATATCTTTTCTGCTTAAAGCTTCCTCTTTCACTTTCCCAGCTCGATACTCGATCTGTTCTAGTATAGTTTCAGGGTTCACATCTCCTGATTCAATGGCTTTGATTACATTCTCCACCGCGAGATCTTGTTCTTCAAGAACAATGTGTGTTCTTTTGCATATCTCTTCAAGTTCTGACCTCTTCTTTAAAACAAGTTCTTTCATTTTACTCCATTTCAACTCCTCTAACCGACATATCTCGGCTTTAACCTTTTAAGCATTAAACAATCAATCAGCAGGAAAAAAAACAAAAAAAATTCTCAGAAAAGATATATTAGAAAATCAAGTGAGGGTACCTCTTCAAGCAAATCTAGGGAAAGACTATCGGGTTTGGTTATTTCAGAAACAGTAGCAGCTATATTACATGAAACATTCATGAACTTTTGTTGTTCTTCTGCTGGTGTATCCATTAAACTCCAAAACTCAAGCATTGTCGTCGCAAGATCTTGAAGCTGTAATTTCAATAAAGGATGGCTTTATATATAGATAAGAACAAAGAGCAAAGTCGTAAGATACTAAAATTTTTTGGAAACTTTAACTGACTTCTTGCATCCTCTGTATCTTTGTCTCATGCCATTGGTTTACTGATGAAGCCAACTTGTTAAGTGTTTCATTACTTATACTTCTTGACCCTTCAGATTCTACTAAACTTGGGTGAATCTTGGTAGCAGTTTCTCGAAAATTCAAACCGAGAACTGAACAAAGCGATTCCAGATATTTTAGATGTTCTTGAATCTGTTTTATCCGGTTTCTCTGAGCCAAAAGTACCACAAAAATGTTATCCTCCTGATCAAGAAATTAAATCAAAGTAAAAAAGTAATTTGAAAAGTTTGGGAAACCTTCTGTTCTTGAAGTGTGTAAAGGTCTCTGTGTAACTCTTCAAGCTTTCTAAGAGATAAATCGGATTCATCAATCGAAAAATCAGATGAACAACTCTCATCAGATTCTCCATTAATCTCATCTTTTACACATCTCATATTCTCAATTACTTGTATAAACTGATTCTTCCTCTCTGATTTTCTCTTTTCCATATCCTTAAGTTTCTGAAGAATCTTTACTAACTCTTCTTTCAAGCTTCTCCGACTATGATCAGACTGATGTTGTCTGCCAAGAATCGGTGGTTCTTCCATTGCAGAAGATATAGCAATAACTCTTGCCTCTGAATCAGCAATCTCTTGTTTTAACCGAGTCCTCTCTTCTTTTACGTTTTCTATTTTTCGACTGTAGGCTTCTTTGCATTCGTCTTCGATTTCAATCAAAATCTTCTCTCTTTCGGTTTTAGTTTCTCCAACCTCGTCCCATATAATCTGTGCGTCATGATTTTAGAACAGAATCACAGGAAAATGTATAATATAAAATAAAAACCATTTTCTTGGAGTTGAAGCAATCCCACAAACCTCAAGTTCTTGCAGAAGAGATGCACAAATTGATTCGATTTGAGTTTTGGACATTATTATCTCCAAACTCTGCAAAACTATTTACAAACAAATACATTCAAATTTCTCCCTCTTGCCACTTTCTTTTCAATAGGTCAAAGAAAGAATGAAAAAAATCTTCCCTAGATTTTCTCAAATGCTGAAACATTCAATATTTAGAAAACACATGAATTTGAGAATTTTAGGGCAAGAATCATTTTAATGTTTAAACGGAAAACCTTTAAATTTGTAATTTCCTCTCTATAGAATTTCCCAGGAAAATGGAAGACTTAACCAGGATTGAACGACACAGCCGTTGTTTTTGCCTATAGAAAAATTTCGGATAGAAATTAGGAAGCAACAATCAAAAATATTAGTTAAAACATTACAGGTGAGAAAAAGAAAAAAAAAAAGAAGTACCGTTGGGTGAACGCTTCTTTCGTATATTTTCCTCTGATAAATTTTCGTCCTTAATTAAAATTATAGATTTTTAACTTTTTTTTTCATTCGTACCTACTTTTTTTACGGAAATGTGCATAGATTCTTCTTAATGACGATTTTTTCTCTCATTTATTTATTTAAAGTTCAACAACATTACAGTGGAGTAATGAAAAATTCTTTGCCCAAACTCAAGAATCCAAGGAATAATTTCAGCACATTTTTTTGGAGCAAAATTCAGGTGAATAAGTTGTGTTACCAAAAGAAGTCGGAAAAAAAAAGTTGTTACCAAAAGAAGTAAAAAAAAATTGAATAGTGTCATGAACCATGGGTGTGTAGAGTTAACTATTAAAGTTTTGGGTCTATGTTGTGTAATTCCAAAACTAACGAAACAAATTGGAAATACAAAAACAATGGTGAGCTGTACAAAAACGCAATGATCACCGTCGTTTCATATCCGCGCCAAGTGAGTTGGGGCCGTTACCTCCTCTCTGTCTCTCTTTTCCCTCGTCTTCTCCATCTCCAACCTCTTTCTCCCTCTCTCCTAATTTTCTGGAGAAAATTTTCTCCTGGAAATTGAATCGAGGAGGAGGGAGAGAGAGAGAGAAGGGAGAAGAAATATATCTCCGATTCGTTCTTAATTCGATTGAATGCGAAACTCTCCCACTCGATTCCGTCATCGGAATTCTCTAAGATTTTTCCGGCTTAACAATGGTTCCGGAATCATCAACGGGTTTATCTGGAGAAGAGTTTTTATTGGAGGAATTCGACATTGATTTCGAATTCGATGCACCTAGGTTCTACGATTTCTCTAGGCCAGAGCTTGATTCAGAGACACAAGAAATCGAAATCTGGTTCGAATCAGCTGGAAACTATCCTCCTTCTCGTAAGACAACACGAAATTCCTAAATTCCTTATCAAATTCCTGTAATTTTAGGCAAGATTTGCCTTTTTTGTTTCTCTTCAATTCCGTAAAATACTTTATGCTTTTGTTTGTCTGTTTATCTCAGCCTTTAGCCCAAAGTACAATTGGAAATTTGAGCCACTTGAGAAAATAACAAGCACCAGCTCAGAATCTAAGCCTGTCGAGATCTCAAAACCCGTCACCGAGTCCTTGGATACCGGTCTGAATCGAAAAGATAAATACAACGGTAACGATGATTTCCTCTTGATGAAAACCGAAATCTTGGTTTCTGCATTTTCTGAGACCTCAGTTTCTATTGTTGTTCAGGGTTCATATATTATAACCAAACGGTAAAAGATGTCTCCAAGACAAAACCTAAATCAAAAACCAGACAAAGTAGCTCAACTCTGACAAGACCTACGGCTTCTTTGCTTGCAAGGCAGAACAAACCACTTGACATTTACTCTGTTCAACTTTTGACAAGGTAACAACGAGGAAGCCATTTGTCAATTTTTATTTTTTTTGGGATTCAACAAATGTTGTTTTTTGATGTTTCAGATGTCAGAGATCATTAGGCAGGTTTTCTGATAACAACTTATCTCCGATCTTAGTCTCTAAGATGCAAAGCCAAGACACCAAAAGGCAAAAACTTGAAGCTAAGGTGTGTGGGTTTTGAATTTGGCAATACTAGAGATTCTTACGCTGATGATTTCAGTGAGTTTGTTAATGTATCCAGGTGGCTCAAGTTAAACCCAACAGAAGATCTAAACTCACTGTTCCAAAGGAACCGAATCTCCGAACTGCAGAAAGATCTGAAAGACACAGGTATTCCAAATGTCTGTTTTTGTCAACAATGCAGTGTTTTTGGCTTTCCTTATAACATGTTTTGATGTTTTTTGTTACGCTTTTTCTCTAATGAGTTTCAGGTCTAAGTTCAACTCAGGAACCGAACAGAATGCGAAATCAAGAATTAGTTCATCTAAAAGAAACACTACGAACAAAAATGTACTTACTCCCTTTTGTCTTTCAATCTTAGTTTCTTGAGACAAAAACTAATGTTTTGGATTCCTTTGCAGATTAATCTTGAACCTTCTTCAACACCTTTGCCTAAAAGTAATACTACACGGTCTCAAGATCTTCAGGTATAACTAATCTTCCGACATCTACAAGTCGAAAGTTTTTATCCTCCCACATGAATTAACAGAGTTTTCTCCGTTAGGCGTTTCGCTTAAGAACATCACTGAGAGCAAAGGAACGCTCTTCAAATGTAAGTCTCGAATCCAACATGTAAAGCCATCTTTCAAACGTTCTCTTTTCCAATTTCTAAAGTTCACACATTAGTTAATTGATGTCTCACATTGCAGGCTAAAATTGGAGCCATACAAGAGAATGATGCTACTAACTCCAGAACGTTAGTGCATAGCTTTGAAACTCCATAAAACTACCTTCCTTGTATAATCTAGTTTAGCTGCTAGAGTTGACTTTCCCAAAAACGTTCTCACGCACATTCTCTGCAGGCTAAAACCCATTGATTCCTCAAAGGATAGGGTAGTCAAAGGAAATCACAGCAGAAAGATAAATTGCCAAGTGTATGAATCTCATATTTGCCCTCTAGCCTCAAAGGTAATAAGTAATGCAGCTTTCTCTAAAAACTCATGAAAAAAGTCCCATTGTATACAACTTTAGAATCTTCATTTTCTTGACAGAGTTCAAGCAAAGAAGAGCTCGGTGAAGCAAGTAGCTTCCAATATGGAACTCAGACCTCCTGCAGGACAGATATTAACTGGTAACTAAAAAGCAATCTACTCTAAATCTGTTCAAAGCTCCAATAGTTCCAAAAAAAACAGGCCATAATAGATATCAGATACCATTGATGATATAATTTGAACAGGAGCCTGGATTTATGCCGGAAATTCGATTCACAGGAAGTTGCAGGGAGCCTGATCATTGCTTAAGCTTCACCTTGAAGATTGTTCTTATCATGTTTATACACACGCCATCCTAAGTCTATATATAGTATATATATACAAGCGTGTATACTTGTTTAGATATATGCATAGAAAATTGATTTCATGAATTTTTGTTATGGGGTCATATGTAAGCCATTAAATCAGAAGACTAAAGCCTTTAACTAACTCGTGAACGTGTTCTTGGGAGAAAACAAACATTAACTTCACATATCCCTTTATCATATAACCTTTGTTCTTGTCTTAAATGTTTCCCTACCACAAACATTAACTTCTTTTTCCCTGGCCAAAATGCCCCTTGTACTACATTAAATTTCACTTAAACCATCCTTAACTTTCCAATCAGCAACGCCATCTTCCTTGGAATACAAGAAGGCCAGCAAAAACCCTGGAAAAGCTCTTTAAAACTGAAATCTTATAAGCTATTTTTGGAGATAACTTCACGGAACTGAACAAACCATTGTGATCCTTCTTCCTCATGATTCCTAACTTCACCCTTCTCTTGCTTCTGCTTTTGCTGGTCCTTATCTTCATATTCCGTAGGCTTTTTTGATGGATCAAGAGAAGGCAGCTTCTTCCCTGCTTGCAGAGATGGAAGAAGAGAGAGCAGAACCCTAGAAACTTCAAGCATTGTGGGTCTCTCTAATGGGTTTCGCTTTGTGCATAAAAGAGCTAGCTTAAATGTCTTCCTTAGATGTCCCAAGTCCATACAAGTCACAGTAACCTCTGGATCAACCGTTTCCATAATCGTATTATCATCAGCCTTTGACAATACCTGCAACGAAAGAAAAACCAATTTTTTTTTAACTCAATGGCCAAGATCATATAAAACTATATCTATACATTGAAGTGTTGCAATGAGTATGACTCATATACCATTTGATGCAAGTTAGCTTCGTTATCCACTGCTTTCTTCCCAGTAAGAAGCTCAAGAAGAACAATTCCGAAGCTGTAGATATCAGATTTCTCATTGAGACGAGAAGTACGAGCATACTCTGGGTCTATATAGCCAATTGTCCCCAAAACATAGGTTGAAGCATGAGTTTTGCTCGTTGGTATGCTCTTAGCAATCCCAAAGTCTGATAAATGCGCTTCAAAATTCTCATCAAGAAGTATATTTGATGACTTGATGTCGCGATGAATTATCCGAGGAGTACAGTCATGGTGAAGATAGGCGAGTCCTTGTGCAGCTCCAACCGCTATCTTCAACCTTGTCTCCCAGTCAAGCTTCACTTTCTTCAATGGCCCTACTTCAAAAAGAACAAGTTATAACTTTTATTACATCTCATGTGCCAATCCTTCTTCCAGCAATTGAACCAAAAGACTTTTTTGAACTTACCATGAAGAAGGTCCCAAAGAGATCCATTTTCCATGTAATCATAGAAAAGAAGGTTTCCAATAGAAGACAAGGCGTATCCATGCAAGCTGACTATATTTCTGTGCCTAATGCTCCCTATGGTTTCGAGTTCTGTCTCAAACTCACGCAAGTTATGTGGATACTGATTGTAGAGTCGCTTGATGGCAATAGGTCGGGAAGTTTTCAAAGTGCATTTGTAGACCGTGCTAGAAGCACCGTATCCAATTATGAACTTTTCACTAAAATTCTCGGTTACTCTCATTATATCATCGAATGTGTGAATCGCCAAGTCCATATGGAGAATTACAAGCTTGGTTGAGCCTGAATGGATCAGATTAGAGACATATAAACATCTAATGAAGAGAAAGATTGGTTAAGAAAAACTATGAAGCCATCATCTCACTACCTTCGGCTTGTTTTGAGGAGCCTTTTAGGGGTTTCTTCTGCTGCTTGGATTTGTAAACCACGATTATTATCATACATAGGAGAGTGATGAACCCGAGAACAATACAGATTACAACAGCTTTGGAGAATCCTGCAAAGACCAAGAAAAGAAAGCCGAGTAAGTCCAAACAAACGAGAAAAAGCATATATTGAAGACGATTCTTAGGGAAAAATTCTAGTAGATACCTGGTAATTTAGGCAGAGAAGGACCACAAATAGATCCAACCCAATTTCCACAAAGATATGGATTTCCGATGAAGCTATACAAAGAAAAAGAATCAATTTTACATCAAAAGATTATGCTTATTGATCGTAATGACATCCTAATGAGAGTAGCTTCATACCTGGCTGGAGCAAAACGTGAGAAGTTTTTCATTGATGGTACTGTCCCGGAGAGATTGTTGAAGGAAACATTCCTAAAAACGTTTTAAAAGAGAGAATAAGAAACGTTGGATAATCAAATCTTTAAAAGAATATCAGGCAGTGAACATCTCTAACAAGAGAACTTACAGATTGATAAGAGTGGAGCAATTTGTAAGCTGGTCCGGAATTTTCCCATGAAGCTTGTTGTTATTCAATATTCTGCACAAATTCACAACGATCTACATTGCTTTTTCTGTATACAGCGCAAAAGATAGAGATCATGTGAAAAACTTACAAAGAGTTTAAATCCTGCAACTGGCCAAGTTCAGTGGGAATAACTCCGGAGAGCAGATTGAATGATACATCACTGCAGGAAATACAGAGAAGTCAGGTAAAAAAGATGGTTATGAATTTTGATATAATCAAAGGAAGCAAGCCTTACATCATTTGAATGCTTCGAAGGTTCCCAAACTCTGCAGGCAATTGTGCATTGAGATGGTTTCGGCTGAGATTTCTGTTCAATCAAGCGAAGTTCGGAAGTTAGTAAAAACCAAGAACTTTAACGCGAAAACAAACCTTACAAGTTTGCAACTTGAGAGGTTGAAGACTTACAATATGAGAAGGTGTTCTAGATCACCAAGCGTTAATGGTATAGACCCTGAGAAATTATTACCAGACAGGTCTCTGGGAATAAGAAAGTATAATTAGTCGATACAAATCTGATACAACCAAAGGATGTAACGAAGTTGAGAAGACATACAGTTTGTCAAGATTGATTATATGTCCAAGCTCAGTTGGTATTTTGCCCTTGAAATTGTTTGATGAAAGATTTCTGCATTAACAAGATTTAGAAGTCAGTAAAGCGTATAGAGAGATCCTATGTTACTGCATTGTATTTAATGAAGCTCACAGATAAGTCAAGCTCCTAAGATTGCGGAGCGCCAATGGTATAGATCCACTCAAAAGGTTCCCATGCACATTGCTGAAAGCAAAGGAAAGCAGAATAAAGGTTTGTGAATAAGAAGAGCAAGGCATATATTCAGAAAGATTCATCTCTAAGCTTACAATTGATTCAAGGCTGCACATGAACTGATGTTAGATGGTATCGGCCCTACCAAACGGTTGTTGGCAAGATTCCTTTAGTGTTGAAAGATTGATCATTCGACCCCAAAAAAACAACAGGATTAAATGTAACGTTCCAAAAATGAAGTAAACAGTTAACAGAAAAAGTAAAAAAAAAAAAACTCACAGTTCAAACAATTGCTCAAGCTTCCCAAGCTCAGGTGGGATAGTTCCTACAAGTTTGTTGTCATTTAGTTGCCTGCGGAATCGGAAAAAGATAAGTATTTGTAATGCAAATGCTATGTAAAACAGATGTGAAGTTTAAAACATGCGTACAAATAGCTGAGACGTGACATGTTCCCAAGCTCAGATGGGATGGGACCAGTAAGTTTGTTGCCATGAAGATACCTATTCCAACAAAAACATGTAACTATATATGCCAAGAGCTGAACATACTGTGATTTATAAATAGTAGACTCACAGCTTCCCCGTGAATGAGAGATTGCCAAGTATCGGTGGGATAGGACCGACTAGCTCATTGTCACTCAAATCCCTGGGAATTTGAACAGGTTATATACTAGGTTAGATGAGCCAAATTGTGGATTATATAATTTGGTTATACATTTCCTTCTTATGAACTGAACTTACAAAACAGCAAGAGCCTGCATTAGACCAATAACTTCTGGAATTCTTCCCGTTAATCTGTTTCCTTGTAGTGACCTTCAAAAAAAGTAACACGCAATTTAATAACCAAAGGTTTACATCCATCTATAAACTAAGGCTGAAGAGTCTCAATACTCACAGAGTAGCGACTTGTAGAAAACCGATATTGTAAGGAATCTCTCCAGTTATCTGATTATAAGAAATGTCCCTGTAAAAACAAAGGCAATGAGTCCACAAAATTTCTATGCGGGACATCTGATGTACTCAGAAGAAGGCACATACAGGATTTGAAAGCTTGTGCAATTTCCAATGCTCTCCGGTATAGTTCCAGTTAGACTATTGCCTCTCGCATCACTTAATAGAAAAACACAAGTTAAAACTCGGACTTTCACACAAGAACGGACAAAGAGCTATATAATAAACTCAAAAGATGACACGAGTATAAGATCAAGTGATCAACTTACAAGTACCACAAACCGGTTAGCTGACACATATCAAAAGACAGATTTCCAGTCAACATATTCCCGCGTAAACCGCTGCAGAGAGAGAATACATTAGCAGGGGAATAAAAATTCTTATGGTGTGAAGTTTAGTGGTTAGAGGAAATGAACTTACAGGTACTGTAAAACTTCATTCCAGTATAGTAACCTCGGTATCTCACCCGTTAGATGATTCCCAGCAAGATCACTACAACAACATGATTAAAATTACAAGTTTATGATCAATTTCCATACATTGATTTATGAAAAAATGATGTAACAACAGAACTCACAGTATCTTAAGGTTTGGAATCTGTGTTAAGGTGCCGGTATGGGGCCTGCGAGCTGA